CTTTATATTTTTACCTTTTTAAATTGAAAAAAATGACCACTAAGATGAAATGATAAAGCTATGCACACCCACTGATCATCGATCACAGAAAGGGTTACGGCTGATTATCGTACAAATAAGTAGTATAATTTCTGATTCCTAATATTATAAGAGTTAGTTAACTAGCTCTAAATATAAAATTTATTTCAATCAATTTTGTTTCGTAACCCCTGTCTTTTTTTAAAAAAAATTATCCATATTGTTTGACAAAAAAAAATTGCCCATCCAATCCGTAATATAAAACCTAATTAATTAATTTGAGTATATTAAGAAAATTAATTAAATTGGTTAATATGATATTTTTTTAAAACACCTTAAGCATCTTTTTAATTTCCTCCATCTCTTATCCACTTGATTATTATTGTGAAAATGTCATTAAGACTAATTTTTAAAAAAGTTTATATATGAAATAGGTATTGCATTTATGACTAATATTACCTCTCCAGTTAAATCCTGAAATATTTGACAAAAAATGAAATGGAAAGCAATGATATAAAAAATGTCATAGACTAGATGACAAGGAAAGTGACATTGAAGAAAAAATGAACATATAATTGAATTTTGTTGGTTGCAGTGGGTGATGTATCTGGAAGAACTTCTTAAATTAGAGGACATCCTATCGCACATGCTTCTGTGTTATTAGACAACAACCCTATTCATGCATTGACTTTTATCCTGTCCCATATGCTTGCTATCCTTACGCCTGTAAGATCATGCTCCCTTCGATTTTTAAATATAAGAGCTAATTAAGTTATTGAATTTAAACTTAAACTAAAATTTTAATTTATTTTATTTCTAATATATATCATTATTCTTTCAAACTATTTTTTTAAAAAAAAAAATCAAAATCCTTCGCAATGGCCTATCACAATCTTTTTAGATTACTCCCTCCCGTTGAACTGCAGCCAAAATACATTACATTTCAAAGTGAAAAATATTTATCAACCAACTTCAATTTAATGATACTAAGAGCAAGGTCAAGTTTAATTATTTGCCTTCTTAATACTCCATTATATTATATACTTCTCACGTCCTCAACATAAGAACTAATTAGAAAATTGATACTGATCTTATGCGTAAGGCATATTGAACATATTTATTATTATTATTTCAAATTAATCTTATTGATATTCTCCCAACAAAAATCAGAAAAAGAAGGAAAAAATTAAAAAAATGTTTAGGGTGTTTAAAAAAAAATATCATATCAACTAATGTAACTAATATTTTTAATCTACTTAAATTAGTCAATTATGTTTTACATTAAGGACTGACGGAGTATATGCTTTACAGAACGTAGCTGTGACACGAGATATGGTTTGCTTCCCTGCTTATACAGAGGTATTCTAATTAAGGATATGACGACCTAGCAAGTAAAGTAATATTAACTAATAGCCTTATAGTTTACGGTATATCCTTTATTATTATGTTGACATCGATAACCATATTGATGGTGCTTTTTTTTTTTTCCTCCCTCCTTTTTGGCCTAGGTAAATCATATTTAATTGCAAGCCTCAATTTTAGTTGAGATATTAATAATCAGAGTGGCACAAATGTATGTCGAACATAAGCTAAAAGTCTGCGAGATGTCCATGTCTCACCTTCTCCGAAGAGCGAGATTTGAGTCTCACAACAAAGAATTATGTATGTGTGTAAATTGTACGATATTGCCCTGGGCATTAAGCGATCTTAACCTTTAACTTTTGGTTCAATAACAAGGTTTAATATATATAATGACAATAATTATATATTTATATATAATGACAATAATAAGTCCACAACAGCCTCATGTGGTTGCGGATAAATGATTACTTCATTTTAATTAAGAAATAAAAACTTTAGTTATATATGAAAATAAAATAAAATAATTTTGGTCCTAATTTAAAATTTACAAATCTTTTTCTAAGATAAAATTAATTTTATCTTTTGATCATCGAATGTCATTTCCCCTAATAAAAATGAGGTGACATGTGGATTAATGTTAAGACTTTATATAAGCATCCCTAATATCATTTTTTTAAATATCATGTCAATTTATATTTCAATTAATTGATGTGACTAAAAATACAAATTTTTTTTTCAAAACTCGATATCTCGTAGACAACGAGACAATGCGATATTTTATAACTTTTCCTTTACAGCATTTTTTTCCGGTTAAATTTAATTCTTACCATATTCTCGTAATTTTCTACAATAACTCATATAGTCATTATATCTAAACTCATAATTAAAGAGATGCTTGATGTTAATTGAGCTACAAGCCCTGACTATAATATTTTCGTGTGCGCTTCATAATAGTCCCCGTCTATATTTATAGGAGAATTTTGAGAGCCTACTTTTGTTTCCCTATATATATACATAAAATTATTAACCTTTTTCCAAAATATTTATTAAAAATTTTGAGTTATGTTATGCCCTTACTAAAATATCGGAGAGGCAATCTCATCAATAAATGGGTGAATTGGATCAATTTCTCTAGGTAAGGGGGAATTTTTTTTTTTTTTTATCTTGCCAATATGAAAGAGGGAGTATTATCTGATCACGTTAAACATTAATTAATGCAATTTATAGTTGGCGGTAAAAAGGCAAGACAACAAAGAAATTAAGAAAGGGGCGTTGGAGTGATGGAAGATGGATAAGGTAACCAAACATATTAAGTCATGATTAGACGGAGTAGTTAATGTCTTAAAGAATTCATCAATGTCGTCTTTGAGATTGGTGGCCGCTCGTACAATTTTTTTTAGTATAAGTCATTTTCTTGACTTTTTCATCCAATTTACCATTCATGAATTTCCACCAGTTACTGGTTAGTTGGTTGGTAGACTCAGAATTCTATGAAGATCAACCTGATCTCCCTTAATAAAAATAATTAGACGTTAATGTTAAAATTTGGAAAAATTTAATCATTTAATTTACTCATAATTTTGGCTCGATAGTTTCTACTCAATCTGTCAAACTTCAGTCGTTTAAATTGCGATTATTTTCAAAGAAAAAACATTAATACTTTAAGGGCTGAGTTGTATGAATTAAATGGTTGGAAATTTAAAAATTGAGTTGCACTTGCTAAATTTTTAAAAGCTGGTTCTAATCGAATTAAAAGTTATGAATGAAGTAATTTTTTTTTAATAAAATCTTATTGATTAAAACACAAAACTCGTGCATAGAGTGCCATTGTCATTTGAAGTGTGTGAACTGCCGTTTATTCCAAACTATCATTAACCTTCTTCTTCTTCTACTTCTTTTTCCCTTCCAATCCCTGCACCTTTTAAAATTGCCGGTGTATCTGTTGTTCTAAATGGGAACGATTTGAATTTATTAAAATCCTTACAGATATGGTAAAAATTGTCATTAGAATGTGACATCACACTGGTTTGCTTGATTGAGATTATTATAAAAGTACCGTTTCTGATTGTGATTATTTATTTGCAACGGTTTTTTAAGAACAAAAAAGGCAAGAATTATCTCGTTGTCACGTAAATGGGACTAGGCCAACACATATACATAAATAGGAAAATGGGAAAAAGGAAGATTGAATTAGCAGCGAAAGCCAATATGAGAAAAATTTATGACAGAGCGGAGTGTGATTTTTTGAGGGAGGTTGGGGTTAAAGATTTACAAGGTTGGAAGCAAAAACTTGTTAACATTTGTGGGAAGGAAAGTGTTAATAAAGGTGGTTGCTATTGTGTGTTTATTTAAATACATATTTTACATAAATTGAGATAAAACTCCCCTTACATACTATAAGTTATAGTTGAAAATCTACTTACAAGTCATTCTGAATGAGCGCTTAGTTAACCCGCGTCACGTACCTGGCTGTGGTGGGTGAGTCTTTCAACGGGAATTTCTGTATACATTGAGGCTCGAACTTGAGACCTCGCTTAAACGGTATCAAGTCGCTTACTACTTGGACCAATCCCTGTTGGTTGCGACAGGGCCACTTTAATCTCATGCGTCGATCCATTTCCAAATGGCGTGCTCAATTTCAAAACCATATGCTCCATTTTTAATGGGCTTCTTCTATTGAGCTCCCAATTCCTGTTCAGTGGGTCTGCGTCTGCCACGTTTCCAGACCCATTAATACTAGACTGAACCCAAAGAAAGTATAAAATTTGGGTGAAGGTCTGTCCATTTAACGTTTTTTTTTTTTGGGTGGCGCTCTCTTCCAAACATATAAATATCTAAACGTAGAAAATCTAATTTCCGAGCCATTATTTTCCATAATATTTTAGGTGGATGCACATTCTTGCCTAATTCTCCAGCATTTTATTCGACTTTGGGAAGCAGGTTTGGAGGCGTACGTACTAATATATAAAAGAATCAGTTAGAAAAAAAAATATCTATGAGAATTAATTGGCAAAGAAATGGACACAATACAATATTGCTAAATCAAAGCACTCATACTAATTAAATTAAAGTCGTTTGTAATAATGTCAAGTCCATTTGATTTACTTATTTAGGTTGGTAAAAAAAAAAAAAATCCAATCGATGGAGAGGGTGGTAGGGAGGGAGAGTAATATGAAGTTCACTTCCTCTTTTCTTTTTTTAATTATTTCTTTTTAAAATTTTCGTTACATATTATTTATTAATTATTACTAGACAAATAAACTAAATCTTCTTCATGGTTGCATATAATTTTCTTTTAGTGAACATGGACATATCATGTTCTTATTAAATAGACTGCACAACACTTGCTGGTCAAAAAAAAAAAAAAGACTGCACAACATTCTATAAACAGAATGACAACAAATTGCCAACAATTTTGTTTTTTTTTAATAAATGTTTTTTTAGTTAAAAAAGCCAGCATTTGGGGGCAAAAAAAATAAAAAAAAATAAAAAAATAGGCTCTTGCCCATGCTTGCTTTGGCGATGGCCTAAACGAAGAAAAACCTAATTGGGTTCACCTTGTGTGGCGTCGTTTCATGGAACACCCTCGTTTCGTCGCTCGCCATTGACAGCGACTCCAACTGAAGTGTGAAATTCTGAGACACAGATTTCCAACCCTCCTTCTCTCTCTCTATCGCTCCGTCTCCTGCTTCTACCTACGTTCGCCATTTCTCTCCTTTTTATTTTTTCTTTCATATTTTCTTAACTGTCGGAATAAAAATTCTCTCTCTTCTATCCCTGCTGGCATCGCCGACTACCGCCAATTCTCTCCATTTCAAAGCTTCCCGTCCGTAATTCTTTTTTCTGCTCTGAGAGATACACAACTTGCGTAAGCGCTGCAAATCTCTTTACCAATTTCTTTCTATTGCATACTTATACAAGGCTTGAATGGATTGTATCAATAGAATGAGATAAAGCGTGGTAATTTTACCCATTTCTTAGTGGCATTTTCTGTGAGCTCCCGTGAACGATTTATGGCCTGTCTAGCCATTCTTCTTTCTTGTCTTCTACTTTATTTTTGTATTGAATTCTTATTGTTTTGGTTACTGGAAATTTGGTTGATAGCCGAAAGGGAAGTCAGTCATCATTGTGATTCAAATCATTGTGATGCAATAAGAATGATTAAGAACTCTTATTTAAGACCACGGGGATGGTCATGGGTGATTTTAATACCACGGGAACATGGGTGTTGTGAGAAGTCCTTATCTTTGCTCCTTGGTGCAGGAGAAACTAGCTATGGCTTCATAACCCTAGTTTTTTAAAGAAGATTTCCACAGTTTTTCCCCTCCTGAGCCTTGGACAGATCCCGTCACAAAAAATTACTATCGGAATTCTTGCTTAGGGGGAACATGAGTATTGCAAATTGGGAAAGTTGATATTAAGCTGGCACCGCAGTACCTGCAAACAACTGGATGTATGATTATTCAAGAGAAATAGCTCTTTCTTTATCGTCAAAACAAGTTTAAACAGCTTATTGAAAAGTATCATCCATGTCACATGAACAGTACATCAACAATTGTTATTCTAATTCTGAATTATAGTTATAAAGCTAAGTATTTTGGGTGCAAGCTAACCACCTTCAATTTGGAGTAGTAGAGTGCTCGTCATTTCTTAATTTGCCACACGTTGACTTATTATCTTTAACTTTACATTGGACTTTGAATTTCGGAGGTGCTAAATTATTATTGTTTAAACTCTTGCACAAGACATGTCTGTTTTGCTTACTGTTTCACTTTCGTGACATAAAAATTTGTGCGTTCCTGCAGATACTTTTGCTCATGGAACACGCACATTGTGGTGGTGCTGCTTGTACCTTTTTGGGGTGGTCGTCTTAACTCGTTGCGTGAAATTGCAATTTAAATTTATGCTTCAGAGTGTATTGCTTGCGACACAAAGAAACTTACTATAGCCACATATTTTGTTTACCAAATAATTTTCAGATGTCTGAAATTGACATGGCAATTATTAAACCTGAGGTATGGCACCTTGATATAAGTCTAATGTTTATTGTTGCATGTAGTTAGATTTTCATGGAAGTCATACAGCTTTGGAGCTTCCTTCTTTATTTCATTGCTTTTTTGGCTGTGCACTGAACTTGCACTTTTATTTTATTTGGTTCAGTACTTTATTTACTGTGAACTTTAAGTACTTTATTGTCATCTTGGAACACAACACAGGCCTTTTTTAAGGTTATTTGATTTTGAGTTCTCTTACAATTATGAATACTTTCCACTTGAAATGTCATGTAGATTTTAAACATGTGGAATTGATTTATGAAACTTGGTAGTTTTGGTCATCAGACGAGAATATGAAACATCTTGAGTTTTAGATCCTGAGGGAATTGGTTTGGTGGTGATATGATTATATCTGATTCTCATATTTATTGTCCAGATTATAAAAATTATAGATTGGGACCATGCATTTAAAATTGACAGTGTGTACATCTATGATTGACAATTATAGTTTCCGTGGTGATTGTTGATGCGCTCCTATAGTGCTTGGAAATTTTACTTTATGTGTTTCTTGCTAATTGTCAAATATTAGTTGCACTGATGCGCATAAGCAAGACTTATTACCTTCTTGAAATCAAAACTTCACTTTATTACCATTTTTTCTATAAATTCATCTTCCACTTTATATTACACATTCGATGTCTATAATGCTAGGCATGCTAAGTCTCATTATGGCCCATACAGATCCTTTACACTCCTTTATCCTCAAAGCCCAGACCTATCTTTCGTGTGATCTGTGATAACTTTCATGATTTCCTAAGATCCCATATCTGGCTATTTAGGTAAACTGAAACCTTGCTGAAGACAGTGATATAAAAACACTTGTCAACTTGCCTTATATGGAAATACCCTATTGTGATGCTCTTAGTTAAGGAGACCTGCTCTCCGGAGAATCTTGTTGTTGCTTCTTTCACATTGATATTGAAACAACACTGGTGCTAATTTAAATTTTCAGATGATTAAGGCCTATGTATGGCTTCAGATTTCTGATGGTTCTGTTCAACAAGTGGAACAAGAAATCGCAATGTTTTGTCCATTTATATGCCATGAAATAATACAAAAAGGGATGGGATCATCCAAGAATAATGCCATATGTCTTCCTCAACGAGTTAGTCCTTCCCTGTTAAGCTTAATTCTTGACTATTGCCGATTTCATCAAGTACCAGGGCGCTCAAACAAGGTTCTACCTCTTTCTATGATGCTTTAGTGTTGTTATCTTCATGAGATGAGTGAGCTGATGACATGAATGTCAAAGATGATTACTTTTGGGTAGTTTTCTTGTCTAGGAACGGAAGTCCTTTGATGAAAAATTTGTTCGAATGGACACCAAAAAGCTGTGTGAGTTGACATCTGCTGCTGACAGTCTTCAGCTGAAGCCATTGGTTGATCTTACCAGTCGTGCACTTGCTCGAATAATTGAAGGGAAAACACCCGAGGAGATACGTGAGATATTTCATTTGCCTGATGATCTTACTGAGGTGTCTGGTGCTTGTGAGAACTAAGTATGCCACTTTTATCTTCTTTGATTTTCAATTATCATTTCTCACCTTTTCTTTTGTTCCAGGAAGAAAAATTGGAGCCCTTGAAAAACACAACTGATGATCCAAGGATCAGACTTTTGAACCGTTTGTATGCCAAGAAGAGGAAAGAGCTTAGGGAGCGTGAAAGGTTAAAGGTGATGCAGTTTTGTGTTATACTTTGTTGCTCACTTGCTATTATATGTCACTCTGCTGAATGTAATCCGTCTCCTTAATTGAAAAATTGATGTTGAACTGAACTTTTGTTGCTGGTAACTGTGCACGTGCACGTGCACTCTTGCACGAAATTTTTATGCCCTAAAAATGTATGAATAACTGAATGTTGATTTTAATAAGAATTATTCCTTGTGTTTCAGAATGTTGAAGTTGAAGATGAGCATGCAGATGAACGTGTAGATGAACGTTCAGTTGATGACCTTTTGTCCTTTATAAATGGAAATGATAGAGGTGGATTTACCTCGTCATCCCTTTTTTTCCTGTCTTTTTTTTGACTACTTTCTGCATGTGTCTTTCATTTTATTGTGATATTTGACCTTCACCTTAGAGAAGATCTCATCGTACTCATTTGTATTTTTCTTAATATAATTCATTATTTTATCAACGAATGAAGGGCTGAGACTAAACCATTTTGACTGGAATAAATTACTTATGGGCCCAAAATAATTATGTTACTGTGGGCTATGATAGGTAAAACATTTTTTCCTATTGGGCCCCCTCTCTTTTCGGTGACTTTTTAGGCACAGGTATGATGCTTTAGTTTTGAAGTGTCAAACAGAGTTTACACCAGTTTGGCCAGAACATTTTTTGAAAATGCATCTTACCTCTAGAGGAAAGAATATTTCCAGAGTTAAAAGTTGCAATCATTGACGTTATCTGGAATTTGTTTCTGGGATCTGAAGTTTTAGTGAAAAACATGGAGATAAATCATATAGATATGAACTCTAACAAAAGAAAACTTTTGAAACACCAATAAGTCCTATTATGAGTTAAGATTACGGTACAGCATTTTCTCATTGAATCTTTGAATGACCTTGACACAATACGCATGGTCAGGGATTTCGTTTCTCATCTCCATGTGTGTGCATGTTGTGTGAGCCTTTGCCATCTAGTGGATTTTGAATCTGTTGAGTTCCTCTGAGAATTTGTTGGGATTTATAGCCTCCTAGTATTTTTTTTTTCCTGGTTTATATTTTATTACATCTCTGATCTCTCACTGAGGGTGTGGAACTCCATTACAGATCCAAAGGGAATCAAAACTTCCAAGAATAAAAAGAAGAACCGGAGAAAAAAAGATCAACAGAAGAATTCTTCCTTAAAGGAGACTTCTGAACTTAATAAGGAGGTCTGCTAGATACTTTGCAGTCCTGCTGTTTAATTCACATATTATTTTGTTGGTTTTACGTTGTTTTTGAATGAACACGGTAAATGCTCAAAATTACCATAAAAATTTTATTTCCTTTTCTTAAATAGGAATCAAATGGTTATGATATCAGATGCCAAAATGCTGAAACTGATAGAATTGGTGAGACCTCAAATTTACATGATACGGAGAACGACACCCTTGTTCATAAGGCTGAGCTTGATGATGGCGATATAGATGATGAGATCGATCCTGCACTACAGGAAAAAATTGACAGGTGGAGCTAATGCTCTTTGCTCATATAATGTTCATTAGCTTTTATTCTGACCTGTGGTCGTTAAAATTGCTCAATAGCTTTTATCTGGATCATATAATATGCACAGGACAAGAATCTAGAATTTTTAAACTGTGTCCTGTTAGTATTCATTATTTTTTCTTATTATCAATTGCCGGTTGAACATTGACACTCATGTGGGACTGGGAGATACGACAATCCAAATGAAATTCGCTATGAAAAAGTGATGTTTGTGTCCATGACAATGCATCTACAGACGTCACAATTACTGTATCTGCTTTCACTGCTATTGCAACCTGATTCCTGGTCTTCTATATAATGTCATAAATATTAACAATGAGTTGGTTAAATTCTGCCTATGCAAAGGTTATGCCCATTCTCTGATGCTCACAATCATTAATTCAATTAAACAAGTTATCATAATGATAACTTTGTATTGCATTATATTTTGACTCTATTGTCTAACAGATTCATGACATTCTTACTAGTTGTTTTCCCTATTGGTGTTTTCTTTTTATTTGCAAATCAAGATAACAATTTCATAAGATAGGATTTCTGTTTGTGGCTGCGGATTTCATTAAAGGCTCGATAGAATAGATGGTTGCCCATGAAGGTTTGAGTTAACTCTATTGCTGTATATGGGTGTCTAAATGGAATGAAATGGGCAGCCTTACTAAATCTATCCATTATCACTAAAATTGCAGTCATAGGCTATGATTTTGTCAAGCCTTTAATGAAATCCTTAGCCAACTGAGACCATATGTGCTTATTGGGAGTGGTTGTCCCAACCTTGGAATAGGGGATAGTTTTCAGATTTAAAGCTCCGCCATGGGCTACAATTCTGGACTATTTTCCTAACCTCCTCCTTGAGGCATTTCCAATAAAAAATGTCAAGAAGTCTCGTATATGTAGTGGCCATATTTGAGTGTCCTCTTATTGGATCTTCATGAAATGGCGTAATAATTGCTCCCTCGATGCTTGGTCTTCCCGGACAACTAGTTCCCTTTTTCTCTTCAGTAGCTCTTGATTCCAAAAACATTTGGGCCTTGCTTGAGGATCTAGTTGCAGTTATTGAATTAAACTTTTGACTTTGTTGTTTGAAGTACTCCAGTGGTGATAGCCAAATAGTGATCCTCTTTTAGACAACTCATCTGCAGCAGCATTGTCTTTTCTTTTTGTGCACACTTTCTTGCGACAGCCTCAAAGGTTGGGGAACAACTTAATCTTCTCCGGTGATGCAATTGGTTGCTCCAATTTATACTTCAGATCGCAGGTCACCTGTCTTCATGAATTGTTTTCCTTCTTTGTTTGATAACAAAAACAATGGCCAGGCCCATGGATTCTTTTTCATATGGGGGGAAAAAAAACCCTCTAGGCTGGACAGAGAAGCCTGCTTGCCAAGGCTGTAAGGTGCCCTTCCTATGACTAGACAGCCCCACGACCACTTCTTGTTGCATTGTTTTCCATCACAATAGGCAGATGAAATTTTGGAAGGGCTAGGATAGGCATTGATGTCATGGTCGTTTTAGGTTTGGCTGAGTCTCAGCCTGTGTCTCCATTTTTCTTCAACAGGCTCATCAAAGGCTTAGCTATCATCTCATACTCCGTTACAAGTCTTTAGAATACCTGGTAACTAGTAAGGTCCAAAAACCTCTTAATGCTTTCATATTTTCAGGTTTTGGTCTTGAATTAAGTGCTTCAGCCTTCTTCAGGTATGATGCCACTCTATTCGCTAGCATTTTATAAGTTGCAATTCAAAAGTGTTTCTAGAGTCTGAGATGTTATGGTCGAGCCTCTACTCAAGTCCATTTCTGTTGTAAACGCCTCAAGTCCAGGCATGCATCAAACATCTCCCCTGCATCTTGTGTGTTCTACTCCATTGTTGCTCGCATCTACTCAAATGATGGTGTTCTAGTGGAGCCTTTACTCAACTTCCCCCCATTTCTCTTGTGATCAAGCTCCTGGCACCAAGTGGCCAAAAAGAGGTTCGGATCCCCAAATGATATAGAAAGGATACTGTATGACTACTATTCAGATCTCTCAGTACATAGGTCCTTTTTATAGGCCCTTTGTGTCTATACAAGATACTAGCTACTAAACTACCCTGTGACTAGTTATTCTGTTATAGGTTATGCCAGCTACATTGACACATAGCTGCTGCACTATAGTGCTACTAAAATAAGACTAAATTTTATCTGCATGGTACCCTTTTGATGCAGGGAAGTGAAAGATTTTGAACGCATATTGAATTCAGACTGGCCAATGAGGATGCAAGAACTTTTGTCATCATCAGGGCAAGAGAGGAAAACAATGCTTTTTTCCACAAATGGGGCCAGTTTTCTTAGGCGAAATGACTGTATGGCTTCGTTTTCTTGCTTTGATATTTCTATTTACGCATGATTATGCTTCCTAGCTGTTGACATCTTAAATATCATTTGTGCTTAATGGTTTTCTTTTCCTTTCCATTTGATTCGGTTTTAGCTGAACAGTGATTCGGTCAGTAGATTCTTTTCATCCTTGCTTTCCTGTTCCTTTTCAAAATTTATTTCCCCCTCCTTTCTAGGTTTTGGTCTACTTGAGTTGATGAAATGTTTAAGGATTGTTTCTGAAACTCTGCATATTGGTTCGGGTCCTACTCTGCTTTGCGGGGTGAGAGTCAGACAGAGCACTGTATATGCCTTTTCTAGTTATGAATCTTCTTCTTCTCTCCCTTCTTCTTCTTCTTCTTCTACTACTACTTTTTTGGCGGGGTTGGATCTAGTTATGCACCGTGTCACCATCATAGATTTGTGGATGCTTTTATCTATTTACCTTTTTGAGTTAGGCATAATGAATCTTTGAATTTTCCGGCATGTAATTTAGTACTTCAGCATCAGTACTTTTAAGTAATGCGTCTATGTTCCTGAGAGATAGGATCCTCTAAACTTCATGTCTATTTTATTCATTCCATGTACAGGACTGGACTGGAAATGGAAATGAGTCCCTCACAGAATGGCCAAATGTGGCTTGACAATTTTGAGAGATGCTGATAGTCGTAGAGAAGTGTTGCACGTCAGTTATTTTCATTTAATTTATTTTGTTCTTTGGAGTTCATTGGTGGTGCTTGGCCCAGCTGCAATTTGATTCTGGGGCATTCTCTTGTACCTTATGGGAATAAGAATATTATTCTGAGCTTTGTATGAATTGCCTTTAAATTAGAAGCTCACTGAGCCTTTTGTGTTAGTTACTCTGATTATCTATGTTTTGCCCCTTTTTGTGTTAATATCAGAAATATCGATTTTAGGTTGTCAGAATGATGTTATTTTATGTAATATATATCTATATATAGTGTACAGTTTTTGTATGTATAAATGTTATCACGGAAGACTTTTGTCTAATTTTGTACCTATGAGATGGATTATTGTGAAGGTTCTTTCGCACTTCTATCATAATTTGGTAAGCGGCAAAGCTGACGTCACCTATTGCTGTGTGAACAGTGATCTAGACGGATGAAAATAATCATGAAAAATTCAGACCTCTTTTGACGATTTCCCTCGCTGCTTACCTATGATGGCTGGGATGTTCGTTTTTAGCGTTAAAAAACAAATAATTGTGATAAACTGGCTGATATTAGGTAATTTGTTCGTCCAGCTACATCCCTATGGCGTTAGTTTCTCGACGAGCAAAAACACAGCAGTCTGCAAAAGAATTTAACTTACTAATTAAATTAAAATGTTTAATTTCAAAGTCACCACATTAAAATGTTGGAATAAATTGCATATAAATTTTAACACAATGATATTGTAATCTTATGCCCCGACACTAAAAGAAGTATGGTTTTCACCGTATCAATTATTATTCTTGAGGTAGTTTAGGTATCCCCAAGAATGCTTCACTTGAGCCCAGTCTACCCTTACAAAAAGTTAACCAGCCAACCTGGAATTTTTTCACGCCAAAACCTGGAATTCCAGGTAGAGTCCCTTTTTCTGTTTCCGATTTTCCCCACAAGAGGATTTCAGATCTGTGGCTGAATCCACAAGCATGCCTATCATTAAAAATCATTCTCATGTCATCCGCACTTGTTACTTTCTGCTATTTTTTCCTTCACAATGTTGTGTTTTGCTTCTTGAAGCAACTTCAAAGGATAATTACAAGGCCTTCCATACTGTCTACCACTCAAAATTTTACATCTACTAGTTGCTGTGGATTCCATGGGATGCCTACCATCAAATCTAAGCTACCATATTATGGGTTTAATGCCTTTGCAATGGTTACAACCAGGGCACAAATCTGACACAATGTCCTAAGTTTCTATTGGGCTCAAGTAAACTGAACAACCTAAAATACTACTATGCAGGGTAAGTAATGTTTCATTTACTGTGGCTGATCCTCTCGTTGGCCTAGCATGTGCGGGCAAGGAGGTCTTTCTGGTTCACCTCTCGTCCATAGAATCTTGAGTTCACCCTTCTTCTTTCCCAATGCCAAAAAGGTTCCTGCATTCATCATCACAAGATAAAGTGCAGAAAACTCAACCCCTTCAGTAAAAATTCCATCTATGCATTTAAATAGGAAAGATAAATACATCAGGCCAATGATGAAGTAAAATTCTTCTCTATGTTGTTCCTATTTTATTACATGCTTCCAATGAATTGTATAGGGTAAAGCATTCAATGGCTGGGACTTGTTTCAAAGAATTTGATGTTAATTTCAGTTATTTTAATATACTTATTTCGTGTATTAAGTGAATGATCAATACTGACAGTAACGGATGGATCCTCACATGTTAACAACATAGCACGTTCAACATCACTAAAAAAGGCTTAAATATAACCCCAAGGTCTTTTATGTGCTTTGAAATGAACAAATTACAACGAGCATAATTTTTCCCAATATGAAAAGCATGACTACTTTAAGCAGCACCGGCGATACTTGGATATCATCAGCATGTGTTTGAATTCAAGTCTGAATATTTAACTTACCAAGCGTAAATGGAACTATGTATAGCAAAGCTGGTTGGCCATGCCCATCCATTATATTCAAAGCTATGTATGTGACAAGAAGACCTGCAGGGCATCACTCAAGAAATCAAATGATGAGAGACTATGTCAACATTCACCTCCTCCACACATGAAGGAAGATGGCATATACGAAGCCCCAGATAGCCCTATCAGTTTTGTTGCATTGAAGTGTTACGTAATAGCACATATATTCATGCTAAACCATCAATTGTGTTGTGTGTATAATCTATAAAGCATGGACGCAGTATGTTGGACGCTGATCCGTGCTTTCTATTGAGGAAAACTGTAAGGCAAGTAAACCCTCAAATCAAGCATTAACATACCTAAACCATAAGCTGTCATTGCCCATAAGAAGTATCCAGCCCTGAGTTTCCTCTTTGCCAACCAATCATACCTGTAAAATTGGCAACAGAAATTAAGGTTCATGAATCATTGATATGATCCAAAGGCCAATCCATTCTTTCCCTCTGTCTTGAAATATTCCATGACTTGCACAATCAGTCAACTATAAAAACAAACACTAATAGTTCAAGGAGGCTGAAGATGCATGAGAAAGAGAGATATAAATTGTATGAAATCTATATATGACTTCCAATTAAACCTGAGAGAAAATGCTACTAGCAGTCCAGGTAAGATTATGTCCCCAAAACCAATGACACTGTAACCACCCCAAGGATCGAACAAGCGGGGTATCTTTAAAAGCATGGGTATACCATCTTCACCACCCTTTTCACCTCGAGCTACCTACATCATGGAAGTGACAAAGTTACCCATACTTATCGAGAAAGAATGCATCAAATTAATGAGATCAAATAAGCATTCTAAAGGATGGAAAAGGAAGAGCTTTCTTTTGAAACACGCACCACTATCATGACGCTCTCATGAAACCACCATTTAGAGACGAAGACCCAAAAGATGTCATAGAGGAAGGCACAACTAAGAAGAACAGTTCCAACCTGATTTTACATAAACCAAAATGAATAAATACCTTTGTTTATTGTCACAAAAAAAGGTTAGCAAAGCCATGTGAATTCTCGCTGATAAAATACATGACTCCCATAGTTATAACTTAGAGAATAATACAACTGACTCGAAAAAAGATTTTAAAAAAAAACAGAGAGAAAAGAAGGTTGTCATAGGCAAGCTCTTCAAATATATTGAACCATAATTAGTAAGAAAATAAGGAGAGTATAAGCATCACCTTGAGATTCGGTATGCGGACTATCTGAAGAACTGTGATTATCAAAGCAATACCCTGAATGAAGAGGAAAAAGTTATAGAAGGTTGGCACTTAGCAAGCCAGGTTTCATACTTTAAAAGCTTCAGGTTCCACAAAACAGGGAAGCCAGTGAAGTAAAAATGTGCAGAGCTTGAATTTCAGGGTGAAAAACACTGAAAGAACAAATGATAAACAACACAGAACGGTAAACATGGACATGAAAACCATCAGAAGCTATAACACTGGGATAAGAGAAGTTATCAACCATGCGCTAAATGTTATTGAAAGGCTAAAAGCCATCATTTGGTAGCAAATACTAATAATAGCCTGCTTCCGTATGTACAAAACAGACATTAGGATTATAATAATTGATCTCAAAATCCTGGGTACCAATAGGAAAACAATGCTCTCTTCAATTATCTTGCCGCACTCTAGATCCAGCAGGTAACACTAATCCAGGGATTAACATATCTCTGAATTTTCAAAAATATACTAATTGGATCCTAACTATCAGAGAATGTATTGAGGAATAACAAAATTAAGCCTTAGGCCTCGCACTTTATTTAAAGTTAGCTGAAAGGGGGGAAAAAATCAATTTCACCCTAACTTCAGAACATTTTCAGTTTTATAGTGAATTTTTAAATGGTTGGTCTTTAATGGAAAGCTCTGTGACATCAGCCAAGCTGGTACTCAACATTTTGTCATAGTTATCCGCATTTTATCACAAGAAAGTCAGACCACAAGAGTAAGGTTAAAAAGTATGTATTAAAAGAAAATGATCCAAAAAGAAAAAGCCACAAAAATATTCTTACAAGAATATCTTGACCAATCCAAGCAAAGGAGATGCGGCGATGTACTGCCCAAACAACAGTGAACGCTATGCAGAAAGGAGTAACTGCAAGTGTCAGATATGAGACAGCTCCAAATAAGGGTACTTTAACAAAAGTTTGCCCAGCATGTTGAAACCATCTGAAACTAAAGACATTTTATTGTCAATTACATATGATAAAAAAGGAACAAGAGAAGATAAACCATCTATTCAACATCCGCAGACAATAAATACCAATTTTTTTCATGAACAAAACTTATATTTTCATGTAATGTTGAAAATAAAGGAAAAAGAACATATATTTGAAAGAAAAGAATATAAATCACTGGAGGATCACACACAATGCTTGTAATGCAGAAAAAAGTGTATTTTTGCCCGATGTTCACCAAAAACCTAGTGATTGCATGACTGGCTAATCCAGTCTATAGAACCATTATCAAATAACTGATAACTTCTTCAAGCTATGGATTAGTTTCAGAGCAGTAGAAAAAAATCCATAAATTAATCATCAAATTTTCATCTCATCCAAGAGCAATCCTTCATAATAAATGGTTACGACCCTGAAGACAGAAGCATACAAAAGAATTTACACAAGGAAACAACGATAAAAGAATATTACCATGATAGAAGAGCCACTAAACAAGTTTGCAGTCCCTGAAAGCACATGAATGTATTAGACATTTAGACGTACAATTTGACAACATAACCATGCCACAGTCTTAGAACATTGGCTCCAAGTAACTATTCATCCAAAAATTATCCTACAAACATATGAAATAAAAATTAAGCAGTGGCTTACATAAATTATGACAGTTAGATGTTTATATGAATTAAGGAATAACTAACATATGCACATCCACTCAAAATGAAAAGAAACACCAATAATTTCTTGTATTTTCCCTTCTCTAAGCATTCTTTTTACAGTCCCTAAAATTTGTTCCACTTTCAAACTGTGTTAGTTCTTTTGTTCAATCATTCCACAATCTTCCTCCATTAATATTAAGGAGAAATTGCATTTACCAACCCTGACCTTGGCATACAATTTTAATGTCCCCTCTCATTTTAAAAATCCGCAATTAGTCCCCGGATCTATTAGTTCTATTGCATTAAGCCTCTATCATCAAATATGGATATTCTAACCACTTAAAAAACTAACATATTCGTATCATAGAACACTCTTTATCTCCTCTTCATCATCTCTAGTTCTCCTTCCTTATCTTTCTCCATCCCCCGATCCCTCACTTGTCCTATAGTCAAACATCAAGTCACACTGTTGTTAAATGTCTGATTTCGGATGCTTGGAAGGAGCTTTGGGTTGTTAAGAAAGCATAACTAAAACCAAGGGTTTTGCAGGTGTTTTGAGAACATTCACAACGGTGATTAGTAATGCATGCTTCATCACTGAATCACTTATCCAGAGCAGAGAAAGAGCTGAATTCTGATAACAAGGAACAAATTTGGAAAAAGAATGACTCACCTCTACCCCACCGATGCAAAATAGAACCACCAGAATCTCAATAAACCAGTATGACATTAATTTGTAAATCATGACCAAGAAACAGGAAGCAACCACAACAAAAAGAATTGCTGCAGCAGTACTAATTTCCACATAACTACTGGAACCAACATTTTCCATATTCACAAGTTCATTTGAACCATCCTGCAAGCATAGAAGTTATTCATATATCAGTACCTAAGTCAATGAGTTATTAAAAAAGAGAGGATTTGTGGCTTCAAAAAGAACAAAATTAGCCCATAAAAAAGAATCAAATTGACACAAAGAATTCAAATTAAGTAACCTTTAATAGCTTCTCATGCTCAATGGCTGCTTCTCTGGTGGTCCACGCTGACCAATAAGAAGCACATAGAATGGTACCCACGGCCATGAGCCATAAAAACACTTCTGCAACATCAACTGCTGGACGCAATGGAGAGTATAACTGCACCGAAACTAAAGATTGCAAATTGCGCACACAGAAGTGCAAGAGTATATTATCAGTAAGCACCAAAGCCACCTCAGGTAATAAAAAATTAAAATTAAAATTCTGCACTAAAGGAAAGGCATAATCAAGTTACAAAATTATACAGAGAAAGTGAAAGGTACCAATGGAGTTATTCTCCAAATGTTTTTCCAAGTTTGTACCAGCATCTTGTGGAAGCATGACAGCAGGTATTCTAATATCAACATCAGTTTCATTCTCGTCACAAACCATCTTGAAAAGTTCTGCTCAACAACAAGTTAAGAACTATATTTCTTAGAATGAATACAATACAATAGGCTTGAAATTAAACTAAACATTTGACAATACTTATTGCAAGTTACTTGTTCAAACTAAAAACAAATAATGAATACGATTGCTTAACATTCTCTACAACCATGATCCCCATGAAGAACTCTGAGCCTCTTAATGCAATGTGTGAAGGTAACAGAGAGAAGGAAAATGAAATGGGCTAGATAAATTCAAATTCATTTTAGGCGACAAAGCAGACCAGATGCAAACACCTGTTCGGTAGTTTATGACAAGGATGGCAGAAGCCCCAGCTTCTTCAGCTCTATTTGCCTTGGTTGTGAAACTACAATTTCCTCGGTGCACCAAAATGACCTTGCCAGTAAGCTATCAAACTCCCAATTACAAATTGATAAGTATCTTAAAATTTTAAGGTTTTAATATGGAAATCTATGCTCCACATGCAAGTTTTTTGGCATTTGAAAATTTTGATGGCTCAGAACTTAAATACCTCATTTTTCAGCTTGCTACAACAATCAGGAGGGTCAGCCAAGGCAACTCTGGTATGGTTGGCATGTTTTTCTTTTGATTCCAACGACTGGCCAAACCGTGCACCAATACCAACATACTCACTGTCTTCTACACCATCAATCCATGTAGGGACTTTGACCTATCAGATCTGAAATTAGTCAAACAGCTCAAAAAACAACAAAAACAAGAAGCAGCCTTATCCCACCAGTTGGAAATCGCATAACACCATTGTGCTCTATCAATAACCAAATCCTGGGATGGGTTGTCAACCAAAAGGTGAAAGCATTCATGCTATTTCCTACAATACTCATAAGAAAATATTAACAACTCACAAAGCATTTTCCTGGAAGCCCGGAGAAAATAAGATAAAAGATTTGCTTATTTGGTTTCCTCAAGTTTAGTCACTATAATTCTCTCTACGAGCTTATTAGGATAACTATTAACAGCAATCAATTAAGGATACCTACAAACTTAACATGCCCCTCTATTTTCAAACAAAGTAGACCATTGAATAAAATACGAAACAATCAAGAGGCATGGCAAAGCAGAAATTTTTCCAGGAACAGAGACAGACTAAAAGTTAAATATAGATCGCCCCTCCCCCGATGGCAAAGGGCATAATTAAAGATCCTGTTCCTCCCAATAGTTATATAAACCTATACTCTATATGTGTATAATTAGCCAAAAGAAACATTCACTCTATTTAAAAAGCCCTCACGCTTTATGTTTTTCCACTGTCTTTCTCCATGTCACTAGACAGAGTCTGCCATCTGAAAGTATTTAACAGCAAAAATTGAAAAGATGCATAGTTTTCAAGGGTTAAAAGGAAGCAAATCTTATCTCTTCAGGCACAAATGAAAACTTAGATAATCAAAAACAACAAAACAAAAATTTTCGACTTTTTCCCTCAATTCCTTTCCTCGTTCCTCTTCGTTCTTAGTAACCAAACAGCAAGAATGACATTTCTAAACTAGTTTTCGAATTCATGCTAAAAACTAAAACTCCTACCAGGACAAAGTTATTGTCGCAACCAGGCTTCCTGGGAGCTGTATTATCGGGGTGGACTATATCCCCTGCTAACCCCCGAGTCAAAATCAGCAGAAACACAAAGGCCCGACCATATACAGCTTGAAGTGAAACCATGCTTAGCATTCTTCGGAAGGAAATTGAGAAGAAACCGGAAGAAGGTATCAAAGAAAAAGGGAGATATTCGTACTTTTCTTTCCCCTTAGAAGTACAGAAGAAGGAGGTGAATTGAAGGAGAGAGGATGGAAAGGAGGAAAAGAGAGAAGGGGTCACCATTTTTTTTTTTGTTGTTTATGAATTTATCTTTTTAATTTGGGTTTGTCGTTCGTAGTACGGGACACGAAAAAAGCACCGCGTTGTAACCGTTGAACAAGAATTTTCGCACTTTTTCTATTACCGATTTGCTTAGAGAACCACGAGCCCTTGCAAATGCGTGACTTTCACGCGTAATACTTATGGAAGTCAAGTTCTGACTTGGGAAACAATTCCTCTTTTCTCAGTCAAATGACAGATCGATAAGCTATCAAGTAAAAAAATTAGTTAAAGAGGTTAAAAATATTAATTAAATTAATTATTTATAATAAATATGTATTGTCTTTTTTAAAATATTTATGTTAGAACTACTATTATTACAAGGATTATCTTAAAAAAATAAATACGAGAGACAAAATAAATTAAAATCTTATATTTGAACTAAAATAAAAATCAAATAAACTCTTATACTCCTCTTGTTCTAAATATAAATCTTACTACCTCCGGTCCTAATTATAAGACCCAGTTGACTTATTTGAGGAGATTAAGGAAGTAAGTTAAGTTAGTTATTTGTAATAAATAAGTGTTGTCATTCCTAAAATATCCTTACTAATTAAGTATATTGGCTAGAACTATCATTATTAGAAGAACTATCTTGAAAAAAATGCATAAATATGATAGACAGAATGGATTGGAGTCTTATAATTAGGATCAAATAAAAAGTCAAATGGGGTCTTATATTAAGAACCGGAGATAGTATTTTGTAATGTAATTTACATTACAAAACAAATCTTATATTTAGGACCGTAAGAGAATCAAGCACCGAAAGCAATATGATGCAGTAATTGGAAGATATCTATAAGGGAATCTTCAATTAATCGAGAGGGTAAAACTTTAACTGGAAGAAGAAGAAAAAAGCTTAGTGAGCTACAAATTAAAAAAAGTGTAGCTTAAATTCAATATATAATAATATCAAAATACTTTTTTTTTAAATTGGGTTAGAAGGTTAAATATAAGTAACTAACAAAAAAAATGAAATCAAAAGGTATTAAAAATTTTCCCTTAATTATCATAAAATTAATGGAAAAATTGATGTCAAATTAAAATACTACTACCTCCAATCCTTAATATAAGACTCTATTTGAATTTTATTTTGGTCCTAAATATAAGATCCCAATCCACTTTGCCTCTCATATTTATTTTTTTTTTCCAAAATAGTCATTCTAACAATGATAGTTCTAGTCAATACACTTAATTAGTAAGGATATTTTAAGAAAAACAATACCTATTAAGACAAATAACTAACTCAACTTATTTCCTTAATCTCCTCAAATTAGTCGACTGATTTTTATAATTAAGACTGGAGGTAGTATTAAAAACATGTATTATGTACAAGTGCATTTGTCACTTTTTCCGCATATTTCATTAGGTTCCGCATAGTTATATTTTTAGATATTTGTTTATGTTTTGATAGAGTTTAAATGTTAAAATGATAATTATGCTTTTTAAGAAACTTTTTCCCTCTCATATACATCCCCCTAGAAATATCTCAAAGAAAGATGCATTTTGTAGCAAATTTTATTAGTGCGATAAAATTATGGTGGAGAATTACAAGTTTAATTTTTTTTAGCATCTGCAAAATCTACCCATAAAAAAACATCCTGCAACAAAGTTTGAAATCAAGCATCTATTAATAAAACTTATTGTTGCTTGATGTAAATAATACTTCCGTGATCCTTAATGTAAGATCTATTTAACTAATTTGATTAGATTAAAAAAGTTAGTTAATTATAAGAAATATGATATGTTTCTTTCTAAAATACCATAGTCATCTTCATTAATATGCTACCATTCTTTTTCATTTAATTATGATTGAGAAAGTGTCAATAGCTATAATTTAAGAAAAAATTGATAACTACAAGAAATATGTCTGATATTTAAAGTCAAAATTAACTCAGTAATTAGATCATGCATTAAGTATCAAAAGAGTTTTATTTTTTTTCCTTCTCTAAATCGACCATTGGGGCTTTTTTTTTCCTGTTTTCATTCAGATATTCAATTTTTTCTGGGTTTTATTACTACAAAGAATTAAATTTAGCCGTGTTAAGCTATAAAATGCTTATTAACGTCAAAGTAAGCTCGTAAAATATTTACTGTCCACAGATAAAATCGGCACACGTCTAAAGTCCGAACATACATTTAATAAGAAGAGAGTGTGAATATAAATAGGAAGTGTTCAATGTGCTGTTTAGTTTTTCCACTCATATTGCAAGTGTTCTGGTACGAATAAGAAAGTGTGAATATAAAACTACAAGCATATGGTTCAATTAGATCTTAATAAAGTAGATAAAAAATTATATATATGTGTGTATATATTACCTTATGTCCTTAATCTAAAAGCTAGTTGATTAATTTGAGCATATTAATAAAGTTAATTAAGTTAATTATTTCTAATACTACCTCCAGTGCTTAGTATAAGAACTAGTTGACTAATTTAAGTAGATTAAGAAAATTTGTTAAATTAATTATTTGTATTAAATAGGAGCTATTTTTGCTAAAATATCCTCATTAACCAAGTGTATTAGTTTTAATATTTAATGAAATATTTAACATATGCAACAACCACTAGGACTACTTTGAGAAAAAATAAATAAATATAAAAGATTAAGTGGATTAGGATCTTATATTTAAAATCAAATTAAAAGTCAAACTAACTCTTATATTAAGGACCGGAGGTAGTAAATAAATGTTTTTTTCTAAAATATCCTTACTAATCGAATGTATTAGTTAAAAATTCTATTATTATAAGGATTACTTTAGGAAAAAAATAAATAACTATAAAAAAACAAAATAGACCAGAGTCTTCTATTTAAAACTAAATAAAAATTAAACTGACTTTTATATTAAACACCGGAAGTAGTATAACTAAGCAAAAATGAATGAACTTAAAATTTAAAGCCTTCATTCCAGCCACGTTTTGAGGAGCAGAGGGGAATATCACATGCTAATCACATGATTCATCTGACGATTTACAGCTGTAGGAACCTAACACGCACACAAAGATGCATAGATATGCTATAAAGGTGTGACTTAACCAATGACCTTTATCTATAGTGAATAACAAACAAACAATTTGCATTGCATCCTGGTAGTTATTCGACAGAACTTTCTTTTGGGCATGTTGGAGAAAAATTTTATAGGATACTTTCGTGTGAAAAAATCAATAACTCACCTATTGTGAAATATAAGATTTAATTGAAGGATTAGTTTTAATTCTGAATAAAAGATATTAATTTTTTCTCCATCATTGCTAATCCTTTTCGACAATTATCATAATTAATATTACATTTTTAAAAAATTCTTAGCATTATTATTATTTTTATTCTCTAAAATTTAATTTTGTTTTAATTTTAGTTTCTATATTTTAAAACTAATGGTTTTGATTCTTGAAATTTGATATGGTCCGATAGAGATTTTAAATTCATAAAATAGTATTTTTGGTTCACAAAACAAGATTTTAAAGATTAAAATAACTAATTTTAAATTTCAAGAGCCAAAATCAAAAGAGATTAAATTTTAATAAGTAAAAATAATTCTCCTTCAGTCCTAAATATGAGACATTTATACTAGTGTGTATAAAGATCTTACATTTAGGACCGGAAGAGTATTAGACTTTATTCTTATTAGAATAGGTGTTTAAAAAAGGGAAAATTGCAAAAAAAGACCTTGGAATTGCAAAAACGCAGATAGGGACCCTTGACAACTTCACTTTGGGTTTTGACAACTTCAAGGCATATTATTCTTGTCAAAACCCAAAGTGAAGTTGTCAAGAGTCCCTATCTGCGTTTTTACAATTCTAAGGTCTTTTTTTGCAATTTCCCCTTTAAAAAACCACATATTGTTATAAATAATAATGACAAGTAATCTACTTAATTGATTTATTTAATTTCTAACATGTTTTACATATGTCAATAAAAATCTTTAATTTTATTAACTTTTTTTAAATTTAACAATTTTTTAATTTATTTTTATTTTACATATGCTATATCTCTTGAGAGTAAATAAAAAAATTATATTATTTCTGGTGTTAATTATAAAATTTTATTTTTATGATTAAAACCGAAAATAATATAATTGTATAAAAAATCCCTTCATCCTATTTATAATTTTTTTTTATCCTATAGATAGGAGAAGAGGAATATCCGCTGTAGGAGGAACTGGGAGCTACTGATCTTGCCGTGTGTTTCCAGACAACCATGTGAGCGCGTGGCACAAGCTTTTCATTGTAGTACGGAGGTGACCGGCTACTGCCTGAACAAGTATGAGTCCGTATGGACCGTACAGATGAGGCGGCAGGACAAATGCTGCGAAATTAATCCAATGCACTGCGGTGCATCAAATAGTATACAGGTGGCACCACTCTATTGGTGTTGGAAGCGGCGGTCGCCCCATCACCCCCTTAGGATTAAAATAGCAAAGCAACTTGTCCAGAAGACGTGTCATGATTCATGAACATATGAAGGTGATCGCAAAAGGAGCTTCTCTCCGGTGTCCCTTAAGGCACACGACATGTAAGCTCTCAAGCGGGTCCTCACATGGGTACCTATTTTGGTCACGCCAATTCTAATGTGACACATGAACATCGGTCATTGGTGTGATCACACGTGTACAGATCCACATGTGTGGAGCCCAATTTTAAACTCATCCAATTATTAATCATGGGATAAGATATTTTATTATTAATAATATTATATGCACCCGCATCTCAATTTTTTTTAATAATGCAATTTTATTCCTGAAAGGGTAAACTAGTACAAATAAATCATGAGTAGAATTACATAACTAAACAGATCGGAGTTCTGGATACACATGAAAAATAAAGCTAGAATAAAATTATATATTCATCCGGTCCTAAATGTATGATCCTTATACTCGTTCTAAATGTAAGACCCTTATACTCACGAGTATAAAGGTTTTACATTTAGAACCGGAGGAGTACTTGAATATAAAAGTCTTACATTTAGAACTGGAGGAGTACTTACCCTAATACTAATAAAGATCTAAAATATATGAAAATTTACTGCTGATTTGGTTTTGTTCCTGACTCCCTGCGGATCCGGAGTCAATCTCGGAACGCTCTAAAAATATATCTCTACATTTTATGATGTAAATTATTTTCATATATTTGCTTCCTTCAATGTAAAATTACTTAAAATAAATAAAACCAAACAAGCACTATATGGCATCCTCTATATATCATCAAATAATTATTTAAACGATCGTAACTTGTTGCTGCATTGAGTTTATATTTGAAATTTTTATTTTAATTAAAAATCCCATGCTCTTTTTTTCCCCCATAAACTTTGATTTTGAGAATATGCGTTGCGCTAAAGACGTGCTTTTAGCTGGCGATGGTTCTGGATCTATGTTCTCTATTTTTTATTCATTTGGTTCCTCCCCCCCCCCCGGGGGGCCATTTAGCCACCTTTTATTTATTTGTAAAGTATGAAGCGAGGAAGAGCCAAAAGAATGAATAAGATAGATTATAGTGGGGACAAACTTTATTCTTATAAGGTACTCTTCCGGTCCTTATTATAAAACCCAATTTGACTTTTTATTTGGTCCTAATTATAAGACCCAATCCATTTTGTCTCTTATATTTATGCATTTTTTTCCAAGATAATCCTTCTAATAATGATAGTTTTAGCCAATATATTTAATTAGCAAGGATATTTTAGGAATGACAACACTTATTTATTATAAATAACCAACTTAACTTACTTCCTTAATTTCCTCAAATAAGTCAATTGGGTCTTATAATTAGGACCGGAGAGTAGTAGTAGTATAATTTAGTCAGCACTCTGGCCCAAAAAAAAGTCATTATGATAGTTATTTTTATTAACCAGTTTTTATTTAATTAAATATCAAAACTAATTTTGTTCTGAGATGAAGGTTGAAACTCTTCAAAACAAAAACTTATATTTTAGGGGGGGAAAGACAGTAAGAGACAGGTAAAAGGGATATATAATTGCATTTTGCACTTCTAAAAAAAAAGGAATTACATTTTTTTTATTATTATCCAATAGACTCAGGCCTAGTTTTGTTATCGCACTAAAAAAATATCACATACAAAATCAGAATATTAATCTTTATCAATTTTTATATTCACTGATATAAAAATACTTTTCATTTATACAGATCCTTTTCTTTTTTTTATTCTACTTTATTTTAAATACCAAAAGAATTTTAAAACTCAAGTTAATAAAGGCATTTGGCCTTTATTAAACAAACTTTTTTAATTATTCCATTAATTAATTCCGTACGCTAAACAATTCTCGTGGTTATCTCCAGACTCCAGCGGATTAAAAATTTCGGTCATCACTGATAATACTTGATGGGATGCCTTTTAATATTTTTTTAATTAAATTTATTAATGCCAAGAGGCATTACAAATCCCAGTTTTTTTAATCCAAGAAAAAATAATGTTAAAAAACTTTGGTAGTTAACGACTGTCTTTTTCCCCCTACTTTCTTTTTTAAAAAAAAAAAATTGAAGAGCCAACTATCTCTGATTTCAAAGAAATATACTCTCTCGTCTATGGGCAGTCCTTTTCCAAAGTCACATCATAATCTTGATAACCTAAAAGATTTTTTTTATTGAAAGTCAAATACTACTCAAATTCCTCATATTAATATTTTCATTAATTTATTCAGCACGGAGATGATAATCATAATATAATACAACTAATATTAATATACGCTAGACAGATGGAGATAAAATAAATCAAAACTTCACTGATTAAAGTAATGAAGTTAGAGGCCCACATATTGGTTATACTAGTGAACTGTGGAGCCACCTTTTTGGGTCTATTTAGAATTAAAATTATTTATAAATACATTTTATGTATATTAAGATAAAATTTTTTTTACATACTTACTTCATATTTTATAAATTATAATTAAAATATTGTTTATAAATCTTTTCAAACGGATACTCATGAGGTCCTGTTGGGGTTAAGGGGAAGATTAAAAAAAAACGGTGATAAAATCAAATCATCTAATAGAAAATAGTCTTTTATTTTTATCTCGGAAAATAATAATAAGGACAAATCTTGCAGTCGAATGGATAATTTTTCTGCCACCGAGGTAGCATTATTATAAAAGAACAACTTGGGTCGGTGTGTCCAACAAATATTCAATATAAAATTAAGGGAGTTTAAAAATGTAAGTTTTTTTAGCCACCAAATTTTTCAATCTTTTATAATAATGCTATTTAGTGGCGGAAAAATTATCCATTCAACTACAAGGTTTGTTCTTATCATTTGTTTAGGTAAAAAGGGATATTATTATTTTTATAGATGATTCAATTTCATTGTGGTAGCATTTGAAGACGAAATAAACATGAAATTAAATGTTACGAAATTCAAGAGACAAAATGGGACTACTGATGCTCCCACGCAGCCCTCTAACAAGACCATTACTTAAAGTTTGTCAAGCTCCAGACATAAATGGGGAAAAAAATATAATTTTATAAAATAAAATGTCGTCATTAATTTGTGTCGTGTCTGAAGAAATTATCGTATGTAAAGACAAAGCGAGCATGAAAGTAAATATGGGGGGGAAAAACTCTTGACATTTACATGTCTTATTTGTCAAATTTTTTGGTCAATTTTCAGAAGAAAATGGCACTTTGATTACTAGCGAGATGGATGACTGAAGACATATTGACACAGACAATGCATACCATCTCATCAATAATCAATAATAATAATAATTGAGTCATATCGGACAGACGGCTAAATCTCCCCCCAAGTATTTAGTTATAATTATAAATATTTTGATAATACTCCTCCGGTCCTTAATATAAGACCCATTTAACTAATTTGATTAGATTAAGGAAGTTAGGTAAATTAGTTAATTATAAGAAAAGCGACACATTTTTCCTAAAACACCATAATCATCTTTTTTAATACCCTTCTTCCTCTTCTACTTGATTATAGTTGGGGGAGTATCCATAAGAGTAATTTAGAGAAAAATATGAGAAATGAGTTTTATATTTAGAACCAAAACCAACTCAAGAATTGGGTCTTATATTAAAGACCGGAGGAGTACATTATATAATAAATAAATGATTATAATTCACAACAAGATGAATGAACTCTTGGCTCAAATGAAGCACGTGGCTCGTCAACATGGGGCTTCCCCACTTCCCTACCAGAAAGGATTTGAGAACCTTTCTAAGGGTGGTCAAAACGCAGCGTTTGGAACCCATTCTGTACATTTTTCCCCCCAAATAAAAAAAAAAAGGGTCATTGTTTTGGATCAATTTTTCATTTAATGGGTCTGGACTTCGTTTTACATGGGGCATAAACTTGCCGCTGTTTTCATTCTTTGGGCCGTGCAAGATTCCTAAAAGCCCACAATTTTTTTTGTGGCAAGAACGAGGGCTGAGCCCAATATTAAATTAAAAACTCAAGGGGGATTGAATCCCATACAATCATTGGACAGCAAAGTTCCCAAATAAGAAGGACAAGAGTCTAAGATAGAATTAGAGGAAAGCCCTTGCTTAGCTAGAGTATCAGCTAGCTGATTTTGTTCCCTGAAAACGTGAGTCACCTGCACCTCCCACATGAAATTGAGCATTTTCCAGATCTGAAAGAGAGGAAGGCTGCTACTATTGAGTGTATCTTTGGTTTGCACCTTTTCCACCAAGATTTTTGAATCTGATTCTAATATGATTCTTCTGAATCCCCCCCCTCAATTTGACACAACAGCAGAGAATACTGAGATAATCCCCAGCTGCCTGCTGGCATGGAACGCAGCGTGCTGTTGGTAACAGAGATAAAAAGTGTGGGGCCCAACAAATTCACTTCACTTTAAGCAATGTAATTAAATAACTGATAGTACCTCGAATATGATTGTTTTCAATAAGAGGATATCTATACTCTAGCACAAAAATTCATCTCTCTCTCTCTCTCTCCCCCTCTGACCTTATGCCACTGAAATACCATTACAATCTGATATGAGACAACAACTTGCATTAGCATAGCTAATCTATAAAAGATACGCGGTTTAGGGTCAATGATCACTTGGTAAAATTACTATCTCTCTTTTCATTCTTTTCCCGTTTCATTCTACAAGCTAAGCCAAAAGGATAAATAATCATCAATTAGTAATTATCTTTTGGCTAGTACTATTTTAGTTTTATTTATAAGTCACTTGTAAACAAATAATTGGTTCTTAAATATAAATTACTTGTAAGGTAATTAATAAGCTTTTTTCAATTTTATTCTTGTTAATGTAGAGAGAGATAAAGTAAATAAGTGAAAGAAAATATAAAACATTTTTAATACTATTTTTTTGTGAAGATTTTTTTTTTAATGAGAGTAAATGTGAAAAAAGTTACCTATTTAACACGTTTATTGGTTTGTGGGTTTGTGATATGAACATCTCATTAATAGTAACAAAGTGGTAGTTAATACTCTTCTGTCCTAAATATAAGACTCTTATATTAATGTGTATAAAGGCTTTACATTTAAGACCGGAGGAGGAGTAATATTATTTCCTACTTCTTTACCGCGGCTGAAGATCTACAGGCAAATAGTGGTCTACCCTGTACCAGAAGACAGGTTTGGCACATGATTCAATGGAACAAAATTGAAGAAGAAATCTATGTACGGAACTTTCTCCTCAAAACTGCTAAATATAAACAAGAGGTAGTGGGAATGGGAAACTAGTTCAGTGATTTTGTAGCCAGTCCTGAATTGCACTGCGAAGAGCGTGGTTTGGCACAATTTCACGATGTTTAAGCTTTGCGTTTGTCATGGGTGACGTGTCCTGACCACTGTCGAGCCATCGTCGTACCGCCTCACCGTCATATGAAAAACCATCCGCTGCAATATGCGGATCCAGCATCAGTTCCTGTAAGGTTTGACCATGGCAACAGTTGCAAGTTTTTAGCTTTTAATTTTCATTATCCAGCTCTAAAGCAACCTCTCTCAAAGAATCAGTATGATTAAAAGACGTGTTATCAAAGTGAAAAGTTACCTGAAGGATTGGACAGATAAAACATGAAGGAGGCTGGTCAGACCCTTTATAACCCAGTTTAAAGGAAAAGGAATCCGTGCCTCCACAAAAAGCAGTCATTGCTTCCAGTATCGTCCAGACATCTGAACGAAGATCTGGTCGGTTCTTTCGATTCCACTCACAACACCTTAGAGCCACACGAGCCAACTGTTCAGCTTGCACATATGGCCAGTCTCCAGCCAAAGGATCCAAGAGGGATTTAAACTTTCTAGTGTCTAGTGCGTATTGCACTTCCTTTGCTATCCCCATGGCTGGTCTCCCAGTCAGCAATCTTAATAATATGATGCCAAATGAATAAACATCTGATTTTAGCGTAAGATACCCAGAGGTGAGAAATTCGGGGTCCATGTAGACTAGAGTACCCTTTGGAACAGTTCGACAACAATCTGTAGTATCATCACCTGAAGTCCCAATATTGGATAATATGCGGCAAATTCCAAAGTCACTAAGCTTGCTAACAAAGTTAGCATCAAGTAGAACATTAGAGGGTTTCAAGTCTCCATGCACTATGGAGTGAGGTCTATGGCAATGAAGGAAGATGAGAGCAGAACAGAGCTCAGCAGCAATGCGAATTCGAGTTTGCCATAATAATGGAGCCATGTTATCCTTGCAATTGAGACGGTCTTCAAGGCTTCCATTTGGTAGATACTCGTAGACAAGAGTCCAGGATTCTGGGCAGGCTCCTACGAGGGTGATAAGGTTGGGATGTCTTAGCTTACTCAATACATCAACCTGATACAGAATCATAAGTATGATCAACTTAACTGCCAGTAATATTTGCATTCAAGAATAGTAAAGGATAGGTTCATTTCAATGTTGGATACCAAAACCAGCTTTAGATATTTCAAAAGGTTACCAAAAATGATTCATCATACCTCCTGTTGAAACTCTGCAGGTCCTTGCGATTTGTTGTCTGCGTGCAACATCTTTATGGCCACTTCGGTTTGACGCAAGGTACCTTTATAGATATTTCCATATCCCCCTTCTCCAATCTTTAGGGATGAATGGAAGTTTCTTGTTGCATGTTCAATCTCTTGAAAAGAGAACTCTGAAAACGACTCAGGCCCATTGACGCTTGAAACCTCTCCTTGTTTTTTCCTCAACTCCTCAGCCTCTTTCAATGCATCATTGCGCTGCATCTGTAACTCATCTCTTTCTTTCTTGTATGTTGTCAACAGATCCACCATAGATATAATCTTCTGCTCTAACTCCCTTACCATGAATACAGATGATTCAATTTGACTCTCTAAAGACAGCTTTTGATCAAGGGCAAGTCTTAGTTCTTCCTTAACTTTGTCTCTGTTGCCCTTCACCCCTTCAAGTTCTTCTCTTTCTTTTTCTAGCGCTTCCTCGACTCGTTTCCTTTGTTTGAGTCCTTCTTTATACAAGCTTTCAGATGTTTTGGCCTGCCAAAGTGCCAATTGATCAGTATAAGCAACAGACTAGATCAAAATCTCATATAGGCATTTAACATGAACTGGAAAGCAACCCAAATTGATGCCAGGGCATTTAAATGATCTTTATCATCGACTCTTTTTCGGGTTAACATGATTGTTTTATATGCCTAAGAAATGTTACGCCTTATTTTCATTCCGGCCCAAAACATGCCCAAAAAAAGAATGTGCAAACTTCAGAGATAATGAACATTTAACTACACACATTATGCAGAAGACCATTTGGTCTGGTGGCACGAGATGTGCCCTTGGTGGCACAAGGCTTGGGGTTCGACCACGAGCTATTAATCAAGCTCTTTGCCTACTGTCCAAGTCCAAAAAAAAAAAAAACTACACACATCAACCGTGAAACAATCAACAAAGGCCCCAAAAAAGAGGGGAAAAGCTCACCCTCCGCATAGCATCAAGTGCATCTTTTTCAGCTCTCCCACGCCTAAGTGTTTCTTGAAAGGCATTCCGCCTAGCAGTCTCAGCTTCATACATGGCTTGTTCAAGTTGATAGTAGAGAGAGTCATCCATTCCTCCATCCTGTCAGTGTTCAATCAGATAAAAAGTCTCAGGCTGTTTCCCCCATGTGTCAACGCAATGCACATTCTCCACAACAAACAAGTATTGGTGGAAAAGAGTTACATATAGGATTACCAGTACGCTAACAGGAGATGGACGATGGAGACTTGCTTTAACTGGAGAAAATTCACTTGATTCTATTACATTTTCACTCCCCTCATAAATCAATTTAGGAGTCAATGCTGCTTCAACAGCACCACTTTCAGAACATGTTGATAAAACTGAAGGACTCTTTCTTGACAGCCCGTCTGCTTCTATACCCAATATGTTACTTGGACTGGAAAACCGTTCTGTGTCAGGAGAAGAAAAGGTCTCTATTCTCCCTTCATGCCCAGAAATGGCAGACCTTGCTCTGGGAAGTAACTCCAGCCTTTTCCGATCATTCTGCCCCACCGTAACAGATTGAGACCTCAACTGAGGTGCACGCACAACTTCAGGGTTTGGCCTCTGTGGCGGCAAAGGTGATGCAACCTCTTCATTACCATCATCCAAGCAGCGATTTCTGCGTTGATATGGTACTTGATTCAGTATCCAAAATCATAACAATCAAGTAAAAGATAAACGTAACCATAGGAAATTATAAGAGCTTTCTGAAAAATTTAAGCTTTAAGTTCTTACGTAACTAAAAAGTTTCTTATCTAAACTGAATTCTGCATGTGACTTTATATCCTAAGCAGTAAGCACCCATCTAACACCAGGCTTCATTAGTATTTAAAATAGGACAAACCTAGTGTGTATAAGGCGCCCTTTGCAGACAAACCGTATCCGACAATAAGCTGCAGCATGTTCACTTACATAAATGGCTTTCTTGGATTTGAGGTCCGGCATTTTCCTGCAATGTCAGAATATTAAAGATCGTTGATATATTTAACCTAAACAACACTAGTAAATAAAATTGGATCTCTATCTCAGATTCTCAGCAACCTTTGTCACATACAAACTATCACATTTCCCCACTCATCATGAAAAACTAGTATACTCTCTCTGATACTAATATGATATCATCAATGGCTTTTTCCAGCACAATTAACAAAAAGTGGCGTGGATAAGGTTTCCTACCTAGAATAACGATTATCAGATGCTGCCCCCATCACAAGCTCACAGATACCATGCTCAGAGACAAGCTGTACAATACCTTTCTCGATGCATTCCATTTCCATATGCAACTCCTCTGCTTGCACCTGAATCAGAATGTTGGGAGTGGAAAGTAAATAAGTTTCAACATTCGTATTGCACATATATATATACATGGACAGAAAGGCCAAAGACAGTACCCCCATTCGCGAACAGAAGAGAAGATGTTCATTTAGATTCTTATGCATGTTTTGCCTTTCAAGCTCCCTGTATGCTTCAACTTCCTCTTCTTTCAATGAACTTGCTGGAAACTTAGTGCCCACTACAAAACAGAATATATCAAATTGTAAAGGCCAATTCTAGGTACTGAAAACTGTATTATTAATTATTCGTTTCACAGGAAAACTAAGAGAGATTAATTAGCATTGCCTAAGAAATCTGCAGAACAAGGCAGTGTAAAACCATGAATATATCAAACAACAAGTCCATATACGCAAGTACTAAACGTAAATATATTGCAGACTTACTCAAGGGGATCTTAGTTGCAGGCACATGAACATGGAGGATGCAAATCTTGTTTCCTCCAGAGTTTTGTATAGCCCATGTCAGATTTAACTTGCTCTCTTTCAAATCTTTTGCCACAGTAACATAAATAGTGTCATTAACCACACTTTTGTTAGGCTCCTCTACAATTTCTTCCACCCCAGCCATGTTGCCGGTGACCCCAAAGTCCTGAGAAAACCCCACAGACCTGAAACCTCGTGTAATTGCAGGCACAGCACTCGCCACAGCCATGCTGAAAGATGAAAGATGAAAGATGATAAGTTAAACCACTAAAGAAATCTCAAAGACTTCAGTTGATGACTTGTTTTTCCATTAACCGCCATCACCTTCTATTCAGAACAAAATTATTTAGAAGCTCACCAAGCAATTCAACTCTCTTCCTCCTTTACCCCCAAACCAAGAATATAGTACTTTCTGACTGAACCAACATGATCAAACGGTGCCTATTCTGTCTGCCATACTAAGAAACTTAATCATCAAAATCTGTCAAAACCCCAAGAACCTGTCTCTAAAACCATGAAAACCCCAAAGAAACACTTTTTCTCTCACTTCCATAACGGAAATTCCTCCCTACGCCAAAAGTACCCGACAAATGCAAAACAACAAAAGCAAACGGGTTCTCTCTCTCTCTCTCTCTCTCTATAGAATTTCCCAGACCAAAAAAAGTATAGCCGGGTCTCTGTCTCTAGATTTTTCCGAAACCTGAGTCGACCCCAAAGCTCTCAACTTACTACAAAGGAATCGGAGGAAACCTTGTTTGCCGGTGGGCGTAAGTGGAAGGTTGTGTAAGCTTCAGCTTCGCTTTACAGAAAATCACTCAGATTGAAAAGAGCATACTTGTCTTCAGCTCCAAGCATTCGCGCGTATAAGCAAAAGAGACCCAAATGATGGATATACAATTCCATGACTTTTAGATGTAAACTACAGAAACAATTCCAGTGGGGTCATCCTCCATTTCAACCTGTAAAACGACCCATTTGTCTCCTTTCATCTGGGTTTCTTCTTCATTTCATTTTTGCTCCTTCCAATCCCTTCAGGACGAAACTTCCCAGAAGGCGAGTGGACCCTCCTGCATCAAATGCACATAACAGAAACTAGAAGAAGGCGCCAAACGGGACTTCATCGATGCAATATACTCCTCCGTCCTTAATATAAGACCTATTTAACTAATTTGATTAGTTCAAAGAAGTTAGGTAAGTTAGTTAATTATAAGAAAAGTGACACATTTTTCCTAAAACATTATAATCATCTTTCTTAATACTTCCTTTTCTTCTTCTACTTGATTATGGTTGAGGTGTATCTATAGGGGTAATTTAGATAAAATTGATAAATATGAGAAATAGGTCTTATATTTAGGACCAAAACCAACTCAAGAATTGGGTCCTATATTATGAACCGGAAGAGTATATTTTGTTTTTCAGTTTAGAAATCATATGCTTGCTCCTCTTCGGATATTCAAAGCTTGATTACCAACGTGTGTCTATTAAGTTGTAGGAAGTAAATATTGCTGATCATCTCATATTTTACATAAAAATACCGCACTCAATATAAAATAGGTGGGCTTGCATCATGCCATCTAATATACTCCCTCCGTTCCTTATTATAAGAGACAAATAACCGAATTACGTTGATAAAAAAAACAGTTAAAATTAGTTAAGAACAATCAATGTATAAAAAGTACAATTTTTTTCCAAAAATGCCCTCATTAATAAGGAGAGAGAGCATGAGAGAGAACAATGATAAATTATTAAAAGAAAGAGAAGTGAGAAGGAGAGAGAGTGTGAGTTAAAAACAATAAATATGGATAAAATAGGAAATCAATATAAAAAAGTAGAGACAACTTTTAAGTGTCTCTTATATATAGAAACATGTCATAAGCATCAAATGTCTCTTATAATAAGGAACGGAGGGAGTATCTAGTTAGTACTTAATAACAACTATAACAACAATAATACTCCTCCGGTCCTTATTATAAGACCCAATTTGACTTTTTATTTGGTCCTAATTATAAGACCCAATCCATTTTGTCTCTTATATTTATGCATTTTTTTTCAAAATAATCCTTCTAATAATGATAGTTTTAGCCAATATACTTAATTAGCAAGGATATTTTAGGAATGACAACACTTATTTATTATAAATAACCAACTTAACTTACTTCCTTAATCTCCTCAAATAAGTCAATTGGGTCTTATAATTAGGACCGGAGGAGTATTAAGGGAATATTAAAATATGATATAGAGAATACGGCGGTCAAATAAGAATATGCGTCAGAGATTCCTCATTCCCTAGCCACATCATCGCATAAAACGTCATCAACGTCGATGTCAATGGCCGTGCACATATATTTTATACACGGTAATGTTTGTCTTTAATATAAAATTAGAGTGGATTTTATGAAATTCAACAAGATTTTCTCTCACTTACAAATAATACTCTCTCCGATCTTAATTATAAAAACTAGTTAATTAATTTGAGGAGATTAAATAAGTAAATTGAGTTAGTTATTTGTCCTAAATAAATATTATCTTTCTTAAAATATCCTTGCTAATCAAGTGTATTGGCCAAAACTATTATTGTTGAAAGGACTATTTTGAAAAAAATATCTAAATATAAGAAATAAAGTGGGTTGAGGTTTTATATTTATGACTAAAATAAAAATCAAATAAGATCTTATATTAAGGATCAGAAATAGTATATATGGTTTTTATTTTTTTTAATATTTATAAGATATATATGACACAATAGCTATTGTTGTTAAGAAAAGTGACAACATGCTCATTTTACAAAATATTATAGACACTCGTGCATGAACACACACACACACCCATGTATAATATATAGTAAGAGGCGCAAGTGGGTACATATGTTCCTTTAAATAATCAGTTGGACGTCAGTAATATATTCCTTAGAGAATTATGTAGAAGAAGAGTAGCATACAGAATAATAACAATACTAAAATGGAACTATATTTTAATGCAAACCATATCATTGATGTATGGGTATGTGATGTGAATGCGAAATTTTTTTATACTATTTCATGATTTATTCATGAATAGTGCATTTTAAAAAATAATATCATCATATATGTATAATTTATATAACTAAAAAATATTTATATTATTTATGAATTATAAAACAATGCATTTTATTTCTAAATTTCATTTAACATATAATCACGTCCTGTTTATTGTCACAGAGAACAGAAAAACAAAATATAATATTTTTTAGAGTCACTAAATTTATTTTTATTTTAATTTTGATCCTTCAAGTTTTAAATCATAAGGTTTGATTTTTCAAATTTCTTGCTATCTAAAATATTGACACTTATAATTTAATAAAAGCCTAGACCATGTTGTCTTAAAAAAGCAACAAAACTTATAATTTTAAATTTAAGAGACTAAAATATAGATAAACTCAAAAGATCAAAAATTATACTCCCTTCGTTTCTTATTATAAGAGACAAATAATCAAATTACGTTGATAAAAAAAATAGTTAAAATTAGTTGAGGACAATTAATGTGTAAAATTATACTCCCTCTGTTCCTTATTATAAAAGACATTTGATGTTTATGGCATGTTCCTATATATAAGAGACACTTAAAAATTGTCTCTATTTTTTTGTGTTGATTTCCTGTTTTACCCATATTTATTATCTCCAACTCACACGCTCTCTCCTTCCCACTTCTATTTCTTTTAATAATTTACCATTGTTCTCTCTCATGCTCTCTCTCCTTATTAATGAGGGCATTTTTAGAAAAAAAATTATACTTTTTATACATTAACTGTTCTTAACTAATTTTAATTGTTTTTTTTATCAACGTAATTCGGTTATTCGTCTCTTATAATAAGAAACGAAGGGAGTACTTTTTACCAATAATGCCCTCATTAATAAGGAGAGAGAGTATGAGAGAGAACAATTAAATTTTAAAAGAAAGAGAAGTGGGAGGGAGAGAGAGTATGAGTTGGAGATAAAATAATAAGGTTAAATAAAAAATCAATACAAAAAACTAGAAACAACTTTTAAATGTCTCTTATATATAAAAATATGCTATAAGAATTAAATGTCTCTTATAATAAAAAATGAATGGATGGAGCATTAATCTCTTTTTTTTTTTTCCATGTAAGAAATGAAAACATAACATGGTGACTATTTGCTCGCGGGAGAAGCAAATTTCTAGGAAATGAAGTTCATGGTGCCGACAACTAGTCAGAAATGGGATAACATCGTACAGGATGGCATTCAATTCCTCCCACGCGCTTTCTCGCCCTTTGATTTCTGGCATCGTGTGAAGACTATCCACAAACGACAACTACCTCCCTGTCACTCCCCTTGAATTCATGCATATATGCATATTAAATGCTCTGCAATCATCCTGGCCTACATTATACTACCTCTTCCATCGAGTTAGTTCACAAAATTCAATCTAGTTTTAAATATAAAATATTAATATATTTTGTTATGTTTTTTAAAATATTTTTATTGATTGTAAAAGATTTTATTAAGAAATAATTTCGATAATCCAATATCCATAATTGGGTATAATAATTTAGAGAAATTAACACATATTTTTAACAAATAACCAGTTTAATTAATTTTTTAAATATCATGTTCGTACTACTTATGGAAAATAATCTGGTCTGAGTCATTCTCAAGGTCGCTGATGTTCTTAAAAGTTACTTGCAAGCCAATGGTACTGCATAGAATTGTATTAAACGCAACGCACGTTTTCTGAAGAAAATATGACAGTAGAACAGCGGAGATATAAAACCCAACAGTGGTGTGCTCTAAACCCTCGTCACTTAGGCGTCACACATAAGAATGTTGGGCAGTCATTTGATGACCATTAATTAAACACCAGTTTCTAAATGCTAGAAGAAGGCCATCACCTTTTGAATATTAAAGTCATCAGAATTCATTGCATTTCTTCTTTCTGACTCATTTAGTAGCCTACTATCACATATCGGTACTATAACAAGATTTATCATACTAACATGTGAACATATGTTTAAAATAGCCAATACTTGTGTGCGGAGGCAATAATCACGTTGGGATTGTCAATTGAATGCAGAGACGTTATGTTATATAGCGTGGATTGACTAATAAGCTCAGTTATAAGCCCTGATATTTGATCTTTTGCATCTCTTTCCCAGTTTCTGCCTTTCATTTGTGTTTGAAAAACGTTATATCTCCAAAACAATGCTTGAATCAAAATTTTTTTAAAAAAAGTCAATATTTATTGTGATTTTATTGGGACGTGTGTTGAAAATTTTTCATATACGGTTTCTTAATCAACGGGGGATAATCATCATTGGCTGTGTTGCCGTCTCGTCTCCGATACTGCAGGTTTAAGACGGCAAATGTACCAGCTAAGTGGCTTGCTTATGAAGGTAATGCTATGAAAGTTGGATTTAGTTTCCCTTCACCGTCCGTTGATCTGTGAAATCGGCTATGTGCAGGAGGCGAGATTGAACTCACCATCTCTCATTTGCAAGAGAGTTTTTATATTATCAGGTTACAAGGTTATTGGTCTTTGGCCTTTGCTTTTGTTCCTTTTTCTCTGCTCAGCCTCTAACCATATATAGCATTGGGAGAATTGGTCCCAATGAAAAAACAAACTCATCCAGTCCTAAATATAAAACTTGTTTTGTAGTGTAAATTTAAGACCGGATGAGTACTACATACATCTGATTCTTAATATAAGAACTAGTTGATCAATTTATATAGATTAAGAAAGTTTGTTAAGTTAGTTATTTGTAATAAATAAATATTTTTTTACTAGAATACTCTTGCCAATCATGTATATTAGCTAAAACTATTACAATGACTATCTTAAAAAACATAAATAATTATGAGAGACAAAGTGAATCTGAGTATTATATTTAGGACTACTAGCTCTTATATTAAGAATGGGAAGTAGTTATTACTAAAAAGTTTTAGTGACAACGGCGAACTCTTTTTTTTTGATGAGTAAAAAAACCACATGAGCCTATCACGTCAGATGATAGCTGTCCCTCCTCACAATATCAACGATAAAAGCAGGAGGTTGAGAGAAATAAAAGAAGCCGTTAACACTTTTCAAACCCTCCTTAGCGATAGCGTCTGCGACCTCATTCCCTTCACGACAGCACCATGCGAGGTTGGCATCCCACTCTCTGTTCATTAGACTCAAGATCTCCTGCATGATGACATCTTCCGCTTCCCCAGTCACGCCGCAGTTATGTACTCGCTCCACTAACTCCAAGCAATCTGTTTCTAGCACGATACGACGATACCCACGATCCCATGCAACCTTCAGCCCCCATAATACACCACTCAACTCAGCCATGTAGCTGCTACCTGCATCTAATTTGTACAGGAACCCACCCAGCACATCCCCTTTACAGTCTCGTATCACTCCTCCACAGGCTGCAGAAGCCCCTCGGGGAGACGCGGCACCGTCAACGTTCACCTTCACCACGCCAGAAGGTGGTGGCACCCAACAATTCATGGCCTCCATCCTTGCATTCGTCGGTATTAAAGGCTTGGATCCCCATCTGGCCAAAGCTTGCACCTTTGCAATAACGCAGCGAGGAGCCTCCAGCGCATTTTCAAAGACCCTCTTATTTCTTACCAGCCAGATTTGCCTACACACAATCCCAAACACCACGTTCCAACAGGACCCTTGCACCTCGAACCTTTGAGTCAAGTTCCAGCGAACCCACCCCTTCACATCTGTAAAGGAATAGAAACTCATAGAATAATTACTGGGTAGCATCTGCAGCCAAACTTCCGATGCCTCATTGCAGTCCCGAATTACATGTAGTGTAGTTTCTAATGTACTGCTGCATATTGGACAAAGTAATGAAGAGGACATTCCCCTTCGATGGCGTTCAACGTTCGTCAAGATTTTGTCTTGAGTCATTAACCATAAGAATGACCTGCATCTCTGGGGTACTTGTAGCCTCCAAATCTTCTTCCATAACCACTTTAACGAGGAGTCACCACGTTTACGAATACAATCGTACGCAAACCTTGTCGTAAACTCCCCAGAAGACGACCATTTCCATGAAGGTATATCAGACGTGGCAGTATCAATAGGTAGAGACATAATTGTCGACACCACATGCTCTGGTAAAAACCTCAATAGACGATCCATGGCCCAACGACCACTTCCGTCTGAAAACTCAGACACAGTAACTTCCAACATACTCTCGGACATTGGCACTTTAGCAACCGAACACAGTTGATCAAAACCTGGACACCAGTTATCTCACCAAAACTTTATACTCTTACCATCACGCAATGACCACTTCAGACCTGAAGAAACAGATTCCCAACAGCGCTTTATCCCTCGCCAAGCACATGACCCTGGCTTCCTGGAAACAAACTTGGGAAGGACATCTCCCCCACATCCATACTTCTCTCTCATGAATTTAACCCATAGAGAATCTCTCTTCTTAATCATCCCCCATCCCAGTTTCATCATATACGCATCGTTCTGCTCCTTTGCACTTCTTATGCCTAGACCTCCCTCCTCTTTCTTTAAGCAAACCTTGTCCCATGCTAATAAATGCACTTTTCTATCTGCTGTAACACCACCCCATAGGAACTTCCTGCACCTTTTGTCTATATCACCACAAATCGATTGTGGAAGAGGAGCCGACTGCATGGCATACGCTGGGATGGAGGTCATAACTGAAGAAACTAGCGTTGACCGAGCTGCAAACGAAAGGGACTTTGACTTCCAGCTGCTTAGTCTAGTGTCCATTTTGTCCAAAATATATTGGTACGTGGATTTGGCAACTCTTTTATGATGAATAGGGACGCCTAAATATTTACCCAGATCCGCCGATCGTGTAAACCCCAAGAAACCGCTAATTTCAGCAGCTCTGTTATGGTTTACGTTAGTAGAGAAGAAAATTCGAGATTTGAGATTATTAACCTTCTCTCCGGATGCAACACAAAAATCATCCAAACAGGCTTTAATAAGCCCCGCTTGTTCTAGTGAAGCCTCTGCAAATAGGAACAGATCATCAGCAAAAAATAAGTGCGATACTGGTGTGCCATGCTTACGTAAGCGGAACGGCAACCAACTCTCATTTTCCACTTCAGTTTGAATCAAATGGGCTAGTTTCTCCATCACCAAGACAAACAAAAAAGGGGAAAGGGGGTCGCCCTGTCGTAGCCCTCTAGACGGACTAAAACTGGTCCCATGTCTCCCATTCCAAAGAAGCTTCATGTCAGCAGTAGTTAAACAGGCCTCAATAATATTTCTTACCGTTTGTGGAATCCCAATCTCCATTAAACACTTGGAAACAAAAGCCCATTTCACACGATCATATGCTTTTTCTAAATCTATTTTGATAGCCATGAACCCTTTCTTCCCTTTTTTATTCTTCATTGAGTGAAAGATTTCTTGGGCTAGTACAATATTATCCACCCCCTGTCTCCCCGGAACAAAACTGCACTGGTTTGGAGAAATTATTTGGGGCATAATAGCTCTAAACCGGTTAGCTATAACCTTTGTCAAGGTTTTGTAGATCACATTGCACAAACTAATTGGACGAAAATCCTGAATTGTTTCTGGGTGTTCAACTTTTGGGATTAGAATAATGTTCGTACCATTCACACTCCTAATTTCTGAAGTTTGAGTTGACATTTTACGCACCATATCTGTGACCATATTTCCAACAATATTCCACTGGCTTTGGAAAAACAAAGGATTTAAGCCATCAGGTCCCGGAGCCTTCAGAGGTCCCATAGCAAACAAAGCTTGTTTCACTTCAAAACTACTAATATTGCTCGCAAGGTTTTGTAATATTTCCTCATCAACCTTAGGGAACGTCCTACCAAAGTTGATATCCACACAATCATGGCCATCCTCAGTATACAAGCTTTTAAAGAAAGTTGTACCTGTTTGCATAATTTCCTCAAAATCATACGTCCATTCTCCGTCCTCCTTCTTTATGGCTTCAATGTAATTCCTCCGACGCCTGGTATTTGTCATCGCATGAAAATAACGAGTGTTACGATCCCCATCTGTGTACCATGAGCATCTAGAACGTTGCAACCACATCACCTCCTCCTGCACAAGTAGTTGCTCAAATTCATCCCAAACTCTTTGTCTCTCGATTTCAAGCCATGACGCTACATTCTTGGAAAGTTTCTTGTCCAGTTCCTCCATTCTTCTAAGCAAAACACTTTTTCTCTTATTTATGTCTCCAAAGACTTCCTTATTCCACTGGGACACGTTCTTTGTAAATGAGCAAACATTCTCATTCCACCCACGTGAAGTCACCCAGGAGTTTCGAACACACTCTGAGAAATCATCATGAGAGACCCAAGGGGCAAAGAATCTGAATGGTTTCTTAGCGTTATCGAACTTCTCCCTTTTCTCCATTTTGATCAAAAGGGGGTTGTGATCTGAGTGGAACCGGGGAAGGTGCGCCACAGTTGCATGGTCAAAAGCATCCAACCAACTTGTTGATGCCACAACTCTATCAATTCTGCTAGCACTTCCTCCCCTACTCCAAGTGAATTTGGGTCCATAGAAATCAATGTCAACCAAATGACTGTTCAAAAACCAGTTACGAAAATCCTTATCTGGAGCCGAACGTCGTCTAGCTACCGACACCCTCTCGTCTTGCCGAAGCGTTGCATTAAAGTCCCCAGCAATACACCATTTATTAGTGCCACTACCGGCTATATCAACCAGATAGCCCCATAAACTCCGTCTTTTGGCGACAGACGGATTTCCGTACACTATCGACAAACTCCACTCCTCGCGAGTTCCTTCATTCATGACTCCATGCAAGACCTGGTCATGTTTCACCTTTACCGTAAACTGTACCTCCTTCCTCCACATACACCAAATCCCACCACTAAATCCCTCACATTCTACTATTGCCACTTCATCAAACCCAGTCCGTCGAGCGAGAGTCACTGCTTTTTCCCCTTTCTGCCTGGGTTCCAAGATTGCAATAAATTGTAGCTTATACTTCCTACAAAGTTCCATAATTAACTGTGCAAAGTATTTTTTTCCCGACCCTCGGGAGTTCCATACTAGCATGTTGATCATCATGACAAAACGTTAAAAAAATAGAGAACTTATTGGCACAACGAGGGGCCCACCATGCTCTCCCCTTGATTGTCTATATGCATCCCGTGCTCCACGCCTACTCCAACATTTGAGAGTGGATTAGATCTAACCAAAAATCTATCATTCCCAAGTGCACCCGGATCCAAAAGATCGTCCTCTTTCACCATATGCTCCCCCTCTGTAAGCCCATGCGATGGTGTTTTAGCTCTAAGAAGCCCATTGCTTTGCGGTTCTGAATCAACCTCCATCACATTACAAGCCTTACTTGGCCCCACTTCATCTTTAGTAACTTGATTATTGAGACCCAATTTCTCTTTAGCCCGTAAATACGCCTCCATGGGGTCAACTGTTGTTTTTGGTGGGGCCAAAACAATCTCCTTATTGAACATAGATGGCTCATGATTTTTCTGCACAATTAAGTCCTTCCTCGATCCTCTCACTTTCTCCCTTAAAACTGGCGTGACAGCTGTATCAGTAATACTCACCGGTGTCTTCGCCTTATATTTCTCAACTGGGACCATCTCTAGCGCCGCAAATCGTGACCCCGTATTAGTGCTCTTGATGTCGCGTCCTTCATGCCGCTGGTCTCTCCCCTTCCCATCCAAACCCCCTGCCCGTTTTCCCCTCCACGGCCTTTGAGCCACCATCCAGCCGCCGTACTGAGGGCTTTCCTTGCCTGAGTTCCCTACCTCGTCCACCACCGTGGCAACAACTTCCTCCTCTCTTCTCTGCCTTCCCTCCGAGCAGTGACTTGAGTCATGACCATATTTTCCGCAATTGAAACAAATCCAGTGTAGCCCTTCATATTCAACCTTTTTCTCCTTCCCGTTGAAAAGAACACATGGCTGAAGTGGCTTCGTAAGATCAAGATGGACACATATTCTGGCAAATCTCCCTTTTGTTCTTCCTATGGTATTTTTGTCAATTTTCAGTACCTTCCCTATTTGGCTTCCCACCACATGAAGAATCCCAGTATCATAATAATCCATAGGTAGTTTCGAAATTCTGACCCAAGCTGCTGCAGAAGTTATCACCTCATCGTCGGGGTCAAAGTCTTCCTTCCATGGCTGGACACTGATATAGTGATCATACATGAGCCACGGACCACCCGTTAGCGCACGATCATAAACTTCCCGATTACCGCATGTAACCAGAAAGAATCCAGCACCAATACCTACAGCCTCGACGTCGCCCCACAGTTGCTTTGCCTTTGCCCTCAAAGCATCCTCCCGAACCATTCTCCCTAACACCGTGACAATGAGGGATCGACACCAACGTTTAGCAATTGTGGCCCTGAACTCTGGAAGTAGAACAATATTCGGTCCTTTCGGTGTCTGCTCCACCTTAATCCGTGCTTGCCGGCCCTCCTCGTTCATCCACCACTCATCCTCGTTCTCCTCATCCATAACCTGAGCTCCCACACCCTCCAAACTCTTTTCCTTCATACATGCATCCCTATAAGTCTTCCGCTTTTCCTCCTCCAACTCATCGTCCATCACCTCAACTGTTTCCATCCAACCCTCAACTCGTGGAACAACCGGTCTCCCCTTCGCCACCACGTCTGGTCCCGTCCTAACCTTCTTTCGACTTCGTGCTAAAGCGTCCTCCTCCTCTGATGACGAAACCACCGCCTCTCGCATTCTCTCCGGCTTCGTGACAACGGCGAACTCTGCAATAACAAGTTTTCTACTCATTTGTTATTATATTGAGATTTTTTTTATAATTATTTTTTTGCTTAAAATCTCATAGTAATTCTCCCTGTAGTATTTGGTTTTTCAGAAAAAGAAAACTTGGATTTGGCATCGTATTTGATAATTTGATTCGACGGATCAGGCTTTGAAGTTCCTAGGATAATGATAATAGACTGCTGATTAAGGGTCCGTTTGGATCAGCGATTGGAAAAGCGGCTTATAGAAAAAGTAGCTTATGGAAAATTGAAGTTGGTAAAAGTTAAGTTGGATAAGCTGAATTGTGTTTGGATTGGAGTTCAGACAAGCTAGTTTACAAAAATGATATTGGAAAAAGCTTGTTTGGATTATAGTTGAGTAAAAGTAATTTTGAGGCATGAGTTTTAATAAATAATGAAACATGATTAAAAAAATAATTTCACATAATACGATGAAATTAAAATAATTTAATATGAAGAAGTCATAAAAATTATTTTAAATATAAAGTGAAACATGAAAAAATAAAAATATATTTTTAGGAGCATATTTAAAAATAAAAATATATTTCTAACTTATTCATTACTTTCAACTAATTTTAATTGATTTTTTATTATCTACAAATTAGTTATTTGAGGCTTATAATAAGAACCAAAAGAAGTAATAAATTTCTTAACTTTTTCTCTCTCCATATTTCAAAAGCCATAAGCCATAAGCTATAAGTCATAAGCTGTTAATTTTAGCTTATAGCTTATTGTAGCTTTTCAGATAAAAGCTCGATTGCAAAAAAGCTGATTCAAACAGACCCTACTTTTGTCAATCGAGCTCATAGAGCTTATAGAGTTTATAAGTTACTTATAAGCTCCAAATAAGTGTTACCAAACAGGCACTCAAATATCAACGTCGCTTGTTGGTCCCACGGCTTGCGTGTGGCCCCGCACTCTTGCAACATACTACAGTGTTATTAATCATCAGAATATTCTTCAATGCTTAGATTTACAAATCTAACGGATTTCTTACGTTCATGCCTGCAAATCAATGTCACTGTGCGAGATTTATCATTCTATCAGAATTATAATATTAGATAGATTGTTTGATTTGATGTTAATATTCATGAATTGGCCCTTAAACTGTAATAAATTAGTTGATTTAATTATTTATTCATGACCAATTTTACCGCCTCCTTTTTATCCTGCTTCTTCCGTGATGGCATGTGTCAGTCTAATCAGTTCAGCTTGAATTAAAAAAAATTAATAAGATTTTTATGCTTTGTCGTCTAGTTGATTATAGTAGTAGTTTGTAGCTGTCATAAAAAATTAGAATTTTTCTTCAAGCTCAATAATTAAATAGAATGAAAAGAAACGTGGATGTCGTGTGTGCGTGTGTACATAGACCGACGCAATCATAAGAACATGCCAAGGGAATATGCTGATGACACAAAAGTCAAAACTATGTGGGGATTCATTGTAAACTGGAAAAAGAAAACGACAATGTTATACTCTTTCTTTCTGTCTTTAATATATGACTCGATTTTTAAGTTAGTTTTGATTCTAAATATAAGACTCATTTTTTATATTTATCAATTTTTTTTAAATTACTCTTATAGATACTCCCCCAACCATGATCAGGAAGAAGAGGTATTAAAAAAAATGATTATAGTATTTTAGAAAAAATGTGTCATTTTTTTATAATTAACTAACTTACCTAACTTTCTTAATCTGATTAAATTAGTTAAATGAGTCTTATATTAAGAACAGGAGGAGTATTTAGTACTCCTCCGGTCCTTATTATAAGACCCAATTTGACTTTTTATTTGGTCCTAATTATAAGACCCAATCTATTTTGTCTCTTATATTTATGCATTTTTTTCCAAGATAATCCTTCTAATAATGATAGTTTTAGCCAATATACTTAATTAGCAAGGATATTTTAGGAATGACAATACTTATTTATTATAAATAACCAACTTAACTTACTTCCTTAATTTCCTCAAATAAGTCAATTGGGTCTTATAATTAGGACCGGAGGAGTAGTTTATCATCCAAGGGAAAATTAATTTGTTCGCACTTATAAGTTTAAATAAAATGATGAGATAAAATTTATTTATTATAATAAACAAATATTATGCCCGTAACCATCTCCTTACATCTATACATGATACTTAATTTAGTTTATTTTTATTTTTAAATCCATGTGATAAGATTACTTATTTCTCTCGCAAATTACTAAATTATGTGTAAAAACCAATATATAGAATTGAGAAAACTCTCCGGTGTTGAACCTTTTACTTGCAGCGCGCAGGGCGTTGGGCTCTCCAGCTTTGCTTTTGTCTTTCTGAGATTTATGTGTTTGTTTGGGCTTTCAAGCTTGTGTTTTACCGAAAACTTCGGCGTCCTTTTGTCCGTCGTTTATAAGGCCTGGGCTTCTCCGTGGTTCAATTTCTATTCAGTGTCCTAAAGAAGCCCATCAGTGTTCTCTAAGCAAATAAAAAATAGAAGCCCATCAGTATTACCAACAAGCATTGGTCCAACCAATAAGAGTTGGGTCTAGTAGAAAGAGCTAATTTATCACAATATGATAAACCAATATTTGAATCCTCACTAGAAGAGGTGCTCATATTTAATGCCCGACAGTGCTTCGAATATGATTGTTTCCAATGGGAAGATACCTATGCTTTAGCAAAAAAAACAAGAATTGGTCCAATTAGTAAGGAGTCAGCTTATAATCCACAAGATTGTGAGTTTAAATCCCTCCACCGATATGATGACCTTGTTGGTAGGTAATTTGTAATTGTTCTTTGAGCCTGAAGGCATGCCCGACCCTAGTGAGCTCTCAGGACCCAATTCACCTTTTTTTTTAACAAAAAAAAAGAAGCCCATCAGTGTTCAACGGGAAAAAAAAAAAAGGCAAAATAAAGAAGCCTATCAGTGTGGATCGTTTTATCCTTGCTGGAGAGAATTTCTTCTTTCATGAAAAAATAGGGTTAAATGACATCTTGAGTCCATGAATTTTGATCTCTAAAATTTGATGTTAGTGATTTTACTTCTTAAAATCTTGTTTTAGGAATTGGAAACACTATTTTGGGAATAAAAAATATTTCAGGCAGATTAAAATAAGGTCAACTTTTAAAAAACAAAATCACTGATATCACTTCTCTTTATAAAGAATACGTGCACGCATATAAATAAAAGGATGCGTAAATTCAAGATTTGTGATTTCACTTTATGACACGGTGTTGAGTGCGTTTGTATAAATCTTTTTGTTGATGCTGGCTCCAACTGAATTCTCACGACATGTTCAGTCGACTCGGCTTGTGGCATTAGAGCCTAATTATAGTAGGCATTTTGTGAGCATGGAGCTAGTTAGATTCTCTTTAGGAAAAATTAAGGAAAAATCCTCGTTACAAATTTAATTAACAAATAATTCCTATCAAATTTGATTATACAAGGAAAGATTAGTTGCATATAAAAGAAGATAAGTTACACACAAAGGGAAGATGATTTGCATAAAACTACTTGGATATAAATGATTAGTTTGTGCATAAAGAAGATGCAAGTAAGAGAGTTTAATTTGTACCAAAAAAAAAAAAAGAATTGCATATCGTTCAAAGAAATATTATTGCACACAACTACACAAGAGAAGATAAGTTGTACAGGGTCCTTAGATCTTATTTTCTAGTTAAATTTTTAATGAGAGATTTACCCCAATTTCCCCATCTCGGACTATCCTCAAACCCGAAAATGGCGTAAAGTAATAAACGTATCGCATACAATGCTCATCACATCTCGCCCAGTGTACTGCATCCATTAAAAATGTTAGGACCCTAACCGCGTTAGTTATTTGCTATTTTGGTCATGAATGTAAAATTTAATTTGTGCAAATTAGATTTTATATTCAAGATCAGAAATGGTACTAGGAATGATGAACACAACCAACACCGTCTCGTAGGAGAAATACAGTCCAAGACATGTGAAAACTGTTTTTTTTTTTTTTCAGAAAACACATACTACAATATAAGATGAGATAATGATAGCTAATAAATGATAAATGTAAATATCAGATTATTTTTTACAACACGTACCCCGTTTTACAAAACAATAATTAACGATCTCTTAATCCTTCGAGAACATAAACTAACTGCCAAATACTAATGACGAATATAAAATAAATAAGCCTAGATCTCAAGCTGAAGAAAACAAATACATGTGAGAGAAAGTTTTCAGCAACCAGCAGCTATAAAAAATTGTCCTGGTTTCCTTTTGTACCTAAGGATGTATGTTTGTATTATCATTTTTCTTCTACGCCTATTTTGATTCCATAATTACATAAAGGTGCTAATAGCTGTCAAGATAATTTTAAAAGATAAAATTCCAGAAAAATGACTGTTGAATTTGAAAATTCCTAAATGGTCATCTCGATGAGCAAAATTTCAGTTTAGATATAGTTGACCAATTGAAAATTTCAAATTTATTGAAATAACTATATTGCCCTTCATTTTTGTAATAAAAAAACCATCAAACATCCTCGCCTGCTTGCCGGTCACTAGAGCTCCAATGTCGATGACCAATGCAAGAGTTCAGGTGGGTTGCCAATTGCTGGAGCTCCAGCGATCAGTCGATGATGGATGACTATTTATTTGGAAATTTTTTCAAGTTCAATAACATGATCAATAAGTTCTTTAATATTATTAATAAATTTGATATTGCTGTTAACAAGTTTTCAAAAAAATTTAAAAAAGTGACATTTTTACAACCTGAGTAGTCCGATTAACAAGTCATGTAACAATATTAACAGCTCTCATAACATCATTAACCACGTAATACAAGAGCTTTTTATACTTGAGATAAATTAATCATGGCATCATATATGAGAAATTTTTTAAGTCCCATAATGTGATTAATATGTTCCTTAATACAATAAACAATTTTTGTATCGTTATTAACAATAGCTTTTAAACAAATTTAGAATGGAGTATATTTATGATTTTAGTAAAGCAGTTAACAAGTCATGTAAATCTCTCAAATCACATGGTTAATGACATTATGAGAGTTGTTAATATTGTTATATGACTTGTTAACCATGTTAATCAAATTGTAAAAATGCTATTTTTTGAGTTTTCTGAAGAAATTGTCGTTAATGGGAATACCAAACTTGTTAATAGTATTAAAGAACTCATTAATTATGCTACTTGACTTGAAAAATTCTCCAAAAATAATTGCCGATTGCCAAAGCTCTGGTCACTTATGATGGACCATCCATCGAAGCTTTGGCACCAATCGTCACCTGAACTCCAGTGCTGATCGCTAGTGCTCCGGCGGCTGTTGATTTTTCTTAAAAAAAATTAAAAAGCAATATTATAAGTTTACTAGCATTTCAAAATTTCAATTTAGTCAGGATGACTAATTTGGGATTTTGTAAGTTTCAGTGATCATTTGGGTTTTATAAATTGAAGTGTCATTTTATTGAAATTTTCTCATTTTAAAATTATACTTATTCATTGCAGTACATGTTTATGACTAATTTATCGCGTACACTTCCAAATCATCAACTCATATCTCTAAATCGCGTACGAAGTCCCTCATTGGCCCACCTCAGTCTTTCCCTTCCTGCCATGTGCTCTATTCCAATTGGTCCTCTATGGATGAACATTATATTTTTATATGCGGGTTTTGCTTGTGGTGCTATCAATTCCCGATGCTACTACTCCTCTTTGCTATGCGTTGTCAATCAATTGCCATTATCAATTCCCGATGTATCAATATTTCCATCTCGTGAACCCTAATCGTCCATCTACATTTCTTGCTCACAATATTCTCATGTAATTTATTACCTCTGTGGTGCTATCAATTCCCGATGCTAATACTCCTCTTTGCTATGCGTTGTCAATCATCAATTGCCATTATCAATTCCCGATGTTTATAATGTCTTCTCATGTAATTGGCATTGGATAGATTCTTAATTATTGATGACGCATCTATCCATGTAATTATTATACCGTCATATCATTTACTACCTTCAAGGAAAAAAAAAGATATGGTCTACTACACATGCTGATTTTCTTTTATTCCAAGCACATTATCATTTATTATTTTATCAGTCATATACCTGGGTGCGTTTTTATTAGACCTAACAATTTAACCATTGGCTCTTGGATTTTTTTGCTGTCAACAATTGGCTGTTTGATAGGAGCCACGGATCATGGGAAAAATTTTCTCAGGATTATGAGGGAATTTCAAAAATCATACATCCTGCCAAATTTTCAGTGGGGTCATTCTGCATAGATGAACATATATATATATCACGTTAGTTTGATCATTATCTGTACTGCCTATCACCCTGAATATCAAGTTACTATTATTGCGTCTTAAGGCACATCAGTATTGTACAAAAAATGGCTCCTACTGCAAAAATTTTTATCGAAGACTTGAACTCCAGCAAAGACACATGGAGTTTGCATGCGAAGATTGTCAGGAAATGGCCGGTGCCCAGAAAGATCCCTCCTTATGCTGTGTGGAAGGTATCCATGCTATTAGTGGATGAACAGGTATTTGTTTATTTCATTTTCACCATGTTCCATCTAACTTTTACAAATACCCTATCACAGTTTCTTCTTCTATATGTAGGAAAGTAGGATTGAAGCATTTACCACTCAGAAATCACTAATTAGACGTATCATTGAAGAACTTCGGGAGGGGGTAGTGTATCATTTTGAGAACTTTGAAGTGCTCCTTAACAAAGATGAGTACAAGGTTACAGATTGTAAATATAAGTTAAGCTTTCATTGTTCAACATCGATCGAGGAAAGTGATCTTTCAATTCCATTTGATGCATTCAACTTCGTTACAATCAAGGATGTTGCTGAGTTTAATGCCAACAATGAAGACTTGATAGGTTGGATCACATACTTATATTGCTTAGCATTTTGTCATTGTTTAATTCTTTTAAGAAAAGTTGGATTTAAAGTCTTTTTTTTTTTTTATGTTTTCCAGATGTTATTGGGTTTTTACAATCATTTGGAGATTTGAAGGATCATAAAAAAGAAGGGGGTAGTACAAGGAAGCTCAGTTTCACAATTGCGGATGAGAAGTGATTAGCCCAGTTTATAGTTTATATTTTAAGATGTTTTGTGTTTTATTTTATTAGTTGTCCCTGTTACTATGTATTGGATTTTCACAATTATTTCAACCAGTTTTCTTATATATATTTTCGTTATATGTGCCTAGAAACAGGATTTTTTTCCTTTTTCTGCAGTGAGAGATCTGTCAATGTGGTAGTATTCGGTCAGTGTGCCAATGAAATATTTAGAGCCAAAGGGGAAGACTTACAACCACCTATTGTTGTGCTCCTTCGTTTTGCAAGAATCAACAGGGGAAAAGGTACGTATATGTATCATCACATGTTATTAAAGGTGTTACCTCATTGCTATTCATGTCTATCATCAAGCTTTAACCTTGAAAATCTAGGTTTCGGACATTTAACTAATCAGTTTGAGGGGACCAAGGTAGTTTTCAATCCTGACCTCCCTGAGACCAAGAAACTACTTGACAGGTTAATTTCATCAACCATTATTAAGTTATTACTTATTAAGATTAAGGTTAGCATGAAAGTGACCAATTATTAATAATTTTCCAACACTTATGTTTAGTCTTGAAGATAATCCAGTTGCAAGTCAAAGTTTATCCCAGGTATCAAGCTGTGTCATTGCAACTGCTACAAATGAGTCACTCTTAAGTTTCCCTTGCAGGATTAATGTAGCTCAGATAATGAACTTCACTGAGGTATAATTTTATTTACATTGATCGAAAAACAACTCTGTTATCAACTTGCTTTTAATTGAGGTGCTTATATATGTTTGGTATTTAGCCATGTGAGGTTGTCACTAAGTTGGTCATTGAGAAGCTTGAAACAGCATATGGTTGGAATTACGATGGATGTCCATGTGATAAAAAACCATTCTATGTCAATGGGAAACTTAAGTGTAGCGCATGCAACACAGAAGTCAAGATGACTGAACCCAAGTATGAAATATTCTTCAAGATAAATATACCATATTATTTTACTATTAGTGACTTATCTTTATTCCTTTTTAACTACATAAGTAATATTTACTTGGTTAATACATATAGGTTCAAAGTTCATTACAAAGCAAGGGATTCCACTGGTAAATGTTCAATCATTTTTTTCAATCGCTTAGCTTCTCAGTTATTGAACTGTGTTGCTGCCGACCTCAAGGATCAAATGATTAAGGTGATCTCTTTTGGGAAATTTTGTCAAAATAAATTTGTTCTGCTGAATATCAGTACCGCATTTTAACACATTACACTATGTGATGCTAACAGATGGGCAAGCCTATGGGATTTCCTAAAGAGCTGTCCGATTGCATAGGGAAGGAAGTCCTGGTCAAACTTAAAATCAAGGACTTCAACATCGGTCACCCGAATAGTAGCATGGGTGTCTCACAGTTTTCTGATGATATGCACATAATCGAAAGGTTCACATATAGCGAATACCAGGAAAATCCTCCAACTCTAACTGAGGTATTAACTATTAATATTGATCATTTATACTTATAATCAAAGATCTTTAAGCTGTAATATATCAAAGTGAGGTACCTAATATACTGAAAATATGTTTAACAGGCTTCACCGGTTGAATCGAGTGCGTCAAAATCCTCTCCAAAAATTGTCCTTGTGGAGGCAGAAGAAGATGATGACCTGACTGATTCACAGATTGTCACTCCAGAGGACACTAATGCAAAGAGGAGGAAACTGAGCAAAACCATCTCCCAAGCAGTTGATGACGGTGGTCTCTCAGAGATGTTGACCCCTACATTCAGCTCAACCCAGCTTTTGAAAACCATAAAAAAAGAAGTTTGTTGACTAAAGAGCAGCCTCATTTTGTTTGTTTAGTCACGCCATTTCAACTTCAATTTTTGGATTTAGTCTACTATTTCAATCATCCAGGCTTTTGTGATCTAGACATATTTTAGAGGCACCAAATTAATATGGTGTCATTATCATGTTTAATTGTGAAATGAATTTCAATTCCTTATGCTGGATGTATTTAAATTCTTCTAATAGACAAATTAATTTAAAAATTATTGCCCACAAGATATGGTCAAGAAACATTAACCAAATAATGTAGAACTTTCCATCCTAATATATACTTTATAAATTATAATTCTATAGTCTTTTCCAAATGCTAAATTAATTTCTAATAATTTATTCTATGGACTCCAGTTCAGGATTTTCTCTTAGAACACTTATATTAACTCAACAAGTTAAAAAGTTTTGCATTTGATTTATTGAATATTTAATATTAATAATTGGTGCACAAAATGAATAGCATATTTAATATCAATACATATGAGTTTTGGGAGTATATCAATCAAATGTTATAATCATATCCAAGATTGCCATAACACGCTATTTTAATTATATGTCTTACCTCTCATTGACGTTAAATATATTATTGAGAGAATGTAAATAAAATCTGGCTAAAATATCTAAATCCAAATTATGATTTACACTTCTAATAAAATTCTAATTAGGCCATGCAAGTGGTCTTCATATCTTATGATTATTTTTCAGGTTGAAAAACGCATAAATAATTCTTAGAGTGTTTAAAATTTTGTGTGTGTATACATAACTAAAACTTTCAAAAATATGTTAATCAAACACTTTAAATTACATTCAAAAATATGTTAATCAAACACTTTAAATTACAATATAAGTTTTAGAGAAAAATATTTTGTTTAAAAATTTTTTTTTGTCATTGATATAAATAATATTTCACAGCAGAATAAAATAAAAAATATTTTTGACCTTTTGAATCAGATGCTTAGTTAATAAAACTAAAGTAATAAAATTATTTTTACTTATTTCATATCATTTATTCCTCACTATTACTGTTCTTTATTTTCTACGAGCATATTTCAATGTTTAGGATAACAGTGGTAGTGTCATCATTCCTTACCATGTGGGTTTGATAATGGCAGTTATTGAAAAGTTACGCTCAAAAAATCAAAGTTACAACTTTTAAAAAATAATTTTATCACCATATTTACCAATCAACATAATTCAGTTGTAGTTTAGTTTTTTTAAAAAATATTTATTTGTACATGGAACTTAGTGAGAATATTATTCTTTAAAAGTTTCCATCACTTCTTGGGTTTCGTGTACAATGACATATCGTTCTTCTGTGATCATGTTTACACATACAATTTACATGGCTATTATAGGGTGAGGTGCCAATCCTAATCATTATTGCATTTTAGAGTCCCAATGCTATACGCTGGAGTTCATTCTTCTATGCTCAGATATCTCTCTCCTTCCGATATGAATGCAGAATTAGCCTACTTTAATGATGATTCTTGAACGATTTCAAAAACCGATGGGGATGATCCTTATCAATATATAATAAAAAATTATTTTAAATGTAAAACTTTGACAATACTCCAACCATGTTTTATATTTTTTAGAGTGTGATCCAAGTGATCAACGATACAGCCAATCAAAAATCATATTTGATCTCCAACTCATTAATCACTTGTATGGATAAAGTAGCCAATAGTGAGTAGACCAATCACATATCTTGCTTCATTTTTTTGCTTGCCGAAACACATATCTAATTTATATTATAGCTCTTTTATTATAGTCCAACAACCTTCTTTGGGCAGAGAGAAAATGGTACAGCACAAGAAGATGACCAGACAACAGAGAAAAAAGAACAGTATGTTGTTAGAACTGTTCCAAATTTTCTTATGGCATTCTTCAAAATATATTTGTATATACTCTTCATACTAAAGTATTCTTCTTTACTGTAGATGATCATGATAAGGCATATCAGAATATCTCATCAGTTGAAATGCAGATGAAGGAATGCCGATCTCAACATGATGGCGCACAGAACATAATTCAGGATCATTTCTCTATAAGGTCTAAAGCGGTTTATGAAACTCCAACGAAACCAATTTTACCCGACATTACTAATTCCCAAACGCTTTACAAAGAAGGAGGCTTTGAGGTTAATCCAACTTCATTTGCAAATCATGCTCCACCGGAAGACATTCAATATTTCTCAACCAATGGGGAAAGAGCTTTTTGTCCCAAGAGACGTCGTATTGAGAATGTCTCAAGTCTTGCTGAGAATCTAACCCATGAGCTTTATCATGACACCAGAAGAGGTGTGTGCATGTTTCATCCATATATAATGTCCTTTACTATATTATTTGCATTGAATCAGCTAACATATTTCTGAAAATTTTGTGAAGAGGATATTTCAGCCTCAGAAGGTATTCAAGGAGATGACCACTTATATGATTCATTTAATATCAACCTTGATGGCTATCTTGATGAGGGAAATCCAGAATTTGAATGTCAATATTGTGGAGCTATGCTATGGTTCAATGAGAGAATAAAGAGAGCTCCATCTAATGAACGGCCAATTTTTTCAATATGTTGCTCCCATGGTAAAGTGTCTGTACCTCATTTACAGACTCCTCCTGAACAGCTCCGTAAACTTTTCTTTGACAAAGGTGATCCAAAATCCAAAAAGTTCCAATCAAGCATTAGAGCATATAATAATATGTTCTGCTTCACTTCAATGGGAGGGAAGATTAACCATTCTCTAAACAGTAATGGTGGGGGACCTTACACCTTTGTCATATCTGGACAGAACCACCACTATATAGGTAGTTTATTACCTGAAGAAGGAGCTAATCCAGTGTACTCTCAATTATATATTTATGATACGGAGCATGAAATAGCAAATCGGCTTTCAGCAATCAGGTATGTTTCTTTTACAAGATTAATAGCACCATCAGTATTTAATATATTTTTTACCAAAAAAAAAATTCAAAAAAATATAGCCAAATATTTGTGATTTGTAATAATGTATTCATTTCAATATTCTTTAATATGTATAGGAATTTATTTTATGGTTTCCTAATTGCTTTTCCATCATTTTTACGTAGTGAATATTTAACACTAACTTTTTTGTTAAAAAAATCACTAACATTACGTCACATGATTTCTTCGTTTTTTTTAACATCTCTTTTAAATCTATCTATTATAAATTAAAATAAAAAAGTACTATTGTTGATTAGAAGTTAAACCTCACAGCTTATTTTAAATCACATAGGAATCACAGTGAAGTATCTCAAGTGGATGTGACTATAGCACATGAAATCAAAGAATGTCTTGACGAACATAATTCACTGGTCAAAAAATATAGGCATGCATCTGATATACTGAAGAGGGATCGCCATGCAAATGTCAAGATTTGCTTGATAAGGCATATGGGCCCTGACAATAGATGTTATAATCTTCCAACATCATCAGAAGTTGCTGCACTAATAGTTGGTGATTTTGACAGATCATATCACAAGAGAGATATTGTTGTGGAAAAACAAGGGACGCTCAAACGAATAGATGAATTTCACAGGTCATACCTACCATTACAGTACCCACTGTTATTTCATTTTGGAAATAATGGTTATGATCCAAATATTATGCACTCTACTCAATCTCTCTACCACACAAGGAAGAAGAAAAAATTGACTATTAGAGAATATCTAGCATATAGATTGATGAACAGGAAGAATGAAGAGTCTGTTATTTTGCATGCTAGAAGGTTATTCCAACAATTTATTGTTGATGGCTACACAATGGTTGAAAGTGATCGATTGAAGTACATAAGAGATCATCAAAAGGAAATAAGAGCCGACCTATACAAGGGAATCTCTGATGCTATTACAAGAGGTGAAACAAATGCATCAATGATTGGAAGAAGAGTTGTTCTTCCATCTTCATTTACAGGTGGTGCAAGATACATGGTGAACAATTTTCAGGATGCAATGGCAATTTGTAAATATGCAGGTTATCCAGATATATTCTTAACATTCACTTGTAATCCTGCTTGGCCGGAAGTAAAGCGTTACTGTACCGATTATGAGCTTAATCAATCAGATTGTCCGCAAATTTTATCAAGGATATTTAAATTGAAATTAGATGCTCTCATGAAAGTTATTAGGGAACAAAAAATATTCGGCAAGATTAGGGCAGGTAATCATCAATTGACCAAGTCCACCTCATATTTATTCCAAAATAAAATTCTGTTATACATTTTTATTATTCACAAGGTTGATTTGGAAGTATGAGATTTTTTAATAATTGTTATGTAATATCTTATTTTATTTTTTTATATTACTGCAGAAATATACACAATCGAGTTTCAAAAGAGAGGATTGCCCCATGCTCATATCATTCTCTTCCTTGAACATGATGACAAGCCCAGAACACCAGAAGATGTGGATAAATTAATATGTGCAGAAATACCAGATAAAGAGTTAGATCCTGAGTTATATGAGCTCGTGGGTAATTACATGATTCATGGTCCATGTGGACACTCTAACAAGAATTCACCTTGCATGAAAGATGGAAAATGCTCGAAGTACTTTCCAAAAAAATATGTCGACAATACAGCTGTTGATGAAGAAGGGTACCCTACATACAGGAGGCGCAAAGATGGAAGGACTATAGAAAAAAAGGGCATACCATTAGATAATAGGTTTGTTGTGCCTTACAATCCACATTTGCTCAGATTATTCCGGGCTCATATTAATGTTGAAAAAACAAACCAGTCAAGAGCAGTCAAATACCTTTTCAAGTACATTAGCAAGGGGAATGACAGAGTTGTTGCAGGGATTTACAGCAATCCTGATACAAGTAGCTCAGAAACTTCATTCGATGAGATATCACATTATCTCAATTGTAGATATGTTTCACCTTGTGAAGCTGCATGGCGTATATTTGCTTTTGACATTCATCATAGATATCCTTCTGTCGAGCGTCTATCCTTTCACTTGCCAGAACAGCAAGTAGTCTACTACTCTGGGAAGTCATCTGTATCATCATTACTAGACAAGCCAAGGATGAAAGAATCGATGTTCTTAGCCTGGATGGACTTGAACAAATCTGGTGGGCTTGCAAAAACAATGACATACATACAGATTCCACAATACTATACTTTTGATAAGAATCAGAGAATATGGAAACCAAGGCAACGAGGATTTGCAGTTGGGAGATTAGCACATGCATCACCAACACAGGGAGAGATCTATTATTTGCGGGTTCTCCTCACCAAAGCACGAGGACCTAAATCGTATGAGGACATTAGAACTGTCGATGGTATTATCCATCCAACTTTTAAATCTGCATGTTATGCCCTTGGTTTGCTCAACGATGATCAAGAATTTATTGATGCAATCAAGGAGGCCTCAATCTGGGCATCTGGACATTACCTCAGAAAATTCTTTGTTAGTATGCTACTTTGCAACTGCTTATCACAACCACTTTTAGTTTGGCAGAAATCTAAGCAACTTATTTTTGAAGATATGTTGTATGTTGCCAGACCTCAACAACAACTATCAGGTAATGACTATCAAATATATTATCAAATTATCATTATTTTATAGCATGATATTTTTTAATTATTGGTGCATCCTTATTAATTAATCTTAATAAACTTTAATTTGTTATCATTACATGTAGGAATTAGTATAACTGATGATGAGAAGGAGGAAGTTGCACTGATTGAAATTGAAAGATTACTCAAGAGGAACGGGAAATCTTTGAGTGATTTCCCTTCAATGCCAAAGCCAAAAACAGATACACATATTGATATGAGGAACCATTTATTATTGCAGGAGCTGAACTATGACAGAGACAGCTGTAGATCTGAATCAGATAAGTTAAGAGCTTCCTTAACAGATGAGCAATTGAATATATTCAATGAGATCTTGAATGCAATTGACTCATCAAATGAAAATTTCTTTTTTGTTTATGGTTTTGGAGGTACTGGGAAGACATTCTTGTGGAATGCATTGACTGCAACTATTAGGGGAAGAGGTGAAATAGTGATAAACGTTGCATCAAGTGGGATTGCAGCAACGTTATTACCATCAGGCAGGACAGCTCACTCCAGGTTTGCAATACCAATAGATATAACTGAGGAATCAATGTGCAACATATCACACAACTCACCAATGTCTAACCTCATTAGAAATACAAAGTTATTCATATGGGATGAAGCTCCCATGGTTAGGAGATATTGCATTGAAGCTGTTGATAGAACATTTAAAGATATCATGAAGTGTGACCATCCATTTGGGGGAAAGTGTGTTGTCATGGGTGGAGACTTTAGACAAATATTGCCGGTTGTTCCAAAAGGAGGCCGTGCTGATATTGTTGATGCATCAATCAATTCATCTGAACTATGGAATCATTGTAGAATGTTTCAACTTACGAAAAACATGCGCCTATTATCAAGTGGAGATCATGGTGACAATTTGAAAGTCCAACAATTCTCAGAGTGGTTGCTTCAAGTTGGTGAAGGTAAAATAGGACTGCCAAATGAAGGTGTTACAGATATTGAGATTCCAAGTGAGATACTAATCCAATCATCTGATAATCATATTCAATCCATTGTGTCTGTTACTTATCCAAACTTAAAATACCATATCAATAATTCTGAATATCTGACCAACAGAGCAATCCTTGCACCAACTATTGAAGTGGTTGATCAAATAAATGATCATGTTTGTTCAATGCTTGATGGTGAATATGTAGAGTACTTCAGCTCAGATTCAATAACTGCTGCTGATCAAGACGTAGAGTTCCAAGAATTATACACTACTGAATTCTTAAACACCATCAACTGTTCTGGTCTTCCTCCTCATAGATTAGCATTGAAAGTAGGATGTCCTGTCATGCTCATCAGGAACATTGATCAAGCATCTGGTCTTTGTAATGGGACAAGACTTCAAACTACTTTCCTTGGTAAACATTTCATCAAAGCTATAGCATTGAATGGCACAAGTGTTGGTCAAGAAGTCCTCATCCATCGTATGGATATGAATCCATCTGAAACTAAGCTTCCATTCACAATGGTAAGGAGGCAATTCCCCCTCATTATTTCATTTGCAATGACCATAAATAAGAGTCAAGGACAATCAATGACTAATGTTGGTTTATATCTTCCAAGGCCAGTATTCTCACATGGGCAGCTGTATGTAGCAATGTCAAGGGTCAGAAGAATTGATGGTCTAAAGGTGTTGATCGTTGATTCGAATAATAAATCAACCAACATTACTACCAATGTTGTATACAGAGAGATATTTCAGAATGTTCATTGTCATTAGCAGACTAGCTGTTGTTACAGAACTTGAGTCCTATGTTCTTTTTATGCCACATGTTCTGTGATTAACATTATTCATTATTTTGATGTATCTTTTTTGTTATGTTTAATAGCTCGTAGCTCAATAACACCATGTCATTGTATTATTAGCATCCAGTTTTTTAAAATCAAAATATTATCAAATGACGATGGGAAATAAAAATTATGAAACATATTTTCTATCAGAATTTTTAGAATAACTAATATCAACTCCACCTGAAATAAAAAAATATGAAGAAGGTTATGAACTCAACTCCATCCTAACCTTCCTCATGTACAACTTGAACACGACTTCTTTAGCATTAAAAACAATATAACTCTGTCACCAAGTACGCAATATTACAAAACATAAATTCATATTTTTGTTAGAATGGCAACTTCGTTGGAATTATGGCAAAATGAAAGAATGGGCTAGGTGATCTTTATTAAAAAATTTGTTTACAAAACATATACACAACAGAGAATAATATAAAATAGATATTGCTAACACATTTCTCTTTCGAAAAAAGTCTATCACAATTGCTTTGTTTTTACTAGAACGCAGTTTTAAAAATACTTACTTCCCTTAATTACTAATGTGTTCAACGCAATTACTTACTCTTTACAATTTAAAATATTCTCATCCTCTATTGAATCAAATTACTTTGTTAGTTTACAATACACTTTAGACAAATCGCGCATCGCGCGGGGGTATAAACTAGTTATTTACATATCAATTTAATCAATTTAATGTGAATATAGAATAATTGATATATTTGTTTTATCTTGTTTATATGGCTAAGGTGTAAAATTTTTAATTCTTTCTTTTAATTAATAAATGAATAGAACACAGAGAAAAGCATAAACGAGAATGTCCTAGAGTCTTATAAGAATTAGTTTGTAGTATTATTTTTTTTCCCCCTCACAGTATACAAACATAAAAAATGTGCGGCCTCATTGATTTGTGAATATTTCCCAATTCTCTTTATATGCATGGTTGACCAAAAAGTATATATGTAATTATGTACATATATGTGTGCATAAATATTAATAATCAGTGAATTAAAAATATTTGAAGCGGGGATGTCATACAAAATTAGTTTGCAAGATTTTTTGGCCTAATTTTTAAATCTCAAAAGGAGTGACTGGTGATAGAGGGGTTGCTGGTGTTATGGTTAAAAAAAATTAATTCCCCCGTGGATGCATTACGGATTGACTCCGCAATGGATTGCATTCGTGACTCGTTTGACCATTTCAGCCCCTTTAAATTGTGCACCTCCAACTACGTTCAGGGTAATAACATGATTTTATGAGGTCAAAATTGGAATACAGAAAAGATAATCATAATGTTTGATAATTACTAGATCCAACCCCTTCGCCCTTTAATCCATCACGCAGAAGAAACAGAAGAAGCACCATCGTCGTCATCAGCAAAGCTGAGAGTCAAAGCCCTCATAGCTTGCGACCCTCCATCTCGGTGGCAACTCGTTTCCCTCTCTTACTTTCTCTATCCACAGTGCATTTCGTCTCTCTCTCTCTCAGGGCTCGAAATTTCTCACGAGGTATGTCCAGCTTTTCCTTATGTTAAATCTTATTACCGTTATTTTTCGAAAGCTCTTAGGTTTTGCGGTATTGCCAATCAAAACCCTAGCTTTATTCACGTCAAAGGCCCAATTTTCAGCTTCACAGTTAGCTCTCGTGCGCATTTATCAAGTTGAAGAATTAGAATTCGTAGAAAACCCTAGTTTTGGATCGTGCTTTGGAGTTCTAATTCCGGCGGTTATTTTGCTTTTGATTTGATTTATTTCGTTGCGTGATGATGTTTCCAGAATTTGTGGGCATCTTGGATTCAATAGTAAGTTGAAATTAATTGGTAGATTAAGTCAGTGGGTTTTTTTCCAATTTGTTTCACACCTGAATAAGTTTCTTTTTGTGCTTTAGCTACTTCAAACGTAATATAAACTACTTGGTGATATAAGCGTGAGGGAATAAGTTTCAATCGAGGTTATTGTATCATGGGTTTTGGACGTATGTACCTGGATCGGGGGCGTTTTGATTGATTTATGCTGCTTTCTATTGTCGCTTGTAATTTACTTGCCAGGATATGGGCTGGAGTTATAAATCCTGGCATTTCCAAAATGCAGGGCGTGAAGTTCAAAATTTTAGTTTAATGGTGGCGCCGTCTCTTACAAGTATTATTTAAGTGTTATAATTCCTCTGAGATAGATAATAATCGAAGGTTTTAACTCTATATGATTATACTTCATGTCCGTATCCACTCTAGTATTTCGTTAACTAAGTTGTTGGGGGTTCCCGTATTTTCATTTGCATGACAGATATGGGACATGCGGGGATATATTTATCTAATCGTGAATGTCTTCATATTTTTCTTGGAAGTGCATTTGGATTTACATGGACCATGGACTTATATTTCAACATAAAAATATTAAATTTCTTAATTAAAATGTCAACTTTTTCCGTTTATTCTCCACAATGGCGTTCGGGCTAGGTTATTATGCTGTTGAAGCAGGACTCACTTTGGGGGAGAGTTTGAGGTTTTAATTTTCCTGAGATTTTTAATTTTGAAAGTTAAGGCACCATTTATCTCTTTCTCTTTTTCGGAGGACACGGTACAAGCTTATGAATTGCTCACTCTGGATGCACGTTTCTTGATATTTCGTAATTCGTAGTGGTTCTTCTTCTGGTCCATACGTTATGCCCCATGCCTGGGATATGTTATCTCTGAGTACATTCTATAGCAGTTAAAGGATATCCAGTGACACAGATTCAAAACTTAAGGTTATTTTCTTTAATTAAGGGTTGTTCCTTGGCTACTGTGATTTGCATGCTTTGTTTTTTGTAGCCTGCGCAACTTGGTTTTTTGTTGAAAAGAACTTAAGACATTGTCAATGGTGCTTTATAGCTATCCAACTGCTTGTGTTTTGATGCTGGGGGCAGTATGCTGGTGATAGTTGGGGGAAATGCAAAGGTATCATGCTGGCAGCTGCACTAGTGCAGTTAATAACAGTGGAATTGGTGGGCCTTCAGCTAGGGACACTGGAAGATCTGAATCATCTTTACCAGCTAACTACTTGATCAGTTCAAGGTATTCTTCTCTGTCTCCTTGAGATCTTATTGCCAATTTTTTTCTTCTTCTCCTAGTTATTATGATAATATTTAATATTTAATTCTTCTCGCAACTTCTGATTTTTTCCCCTTTATTCTTTACCAATCAGAATGTTTCAATTTGTTTTTTTTATTTCTTGTTCTTATTAACTGTATAAGAATCCCATCTCAGTTTACTAAATTGTCTACTTTTGATTATATGCGATGGATGCAGAAAAGTTTCATTTTTGTTTTGTTTCTTTTCTTTTTTTTTTTTGAGTGAAAAGCTCTTTCATTTTATTGAAGTTTAATCCAAAGCCAGCTACTAAAACATGTGATCCTTGGGTTCAGTCAGCCAACCGACTAAGAGTATGCAGATTATAAATCTCTGTGTTTTAAGCTAATTGGTTAAATGCTAAGGATGACAGTTGTAGTTCATTTCTGACTTTGACTTAATATTGCTAATAACTTTAATTTCTGATTTTCTTTGTTTGATACATAGTAATAAAATAGTTTACTAATTTTGATAGCTATCCGTATTAGTGACCTAATGCGTCCAATTCCTCTCGACACCCTTGTTTTGTATGTGCAGGCGTCAACCACAGCTAGCCCCATACAAATTGAGGTGCGATAAAGAGCCGTTAAACTCTAGGTAATCCCTGATACCAGAGCAGCTGTTTTTAATGTATTGTTCAATTTTAGTTCATAGATTTTGATCATTCTATGCTTCACTTCTTGTATATTTGGATTTTGTTAATTTTCACTCTGAAGCGTATAGCTCACAGTTGTTCAACTTTGTAGCTACTATTAATTTTTCTTGCATTTATATCATCCTCGATGTATCAAATTTGAATATTAAACGTCAATATTTGAATCTCAGACTTGGGCCACCAGATTTTTTCCCCCAAACACCAAATTGCCCTGAGGAGACTCTAACAAGAGAATATGTGCAATCTGGATATAGAGAGACAATTGAGAGCCTTGAGGTAGAATGATGAAACTTCTCTTTGGTTTATTCTGTTTTGGTTGTATTAGTAGCAGATTTGACAATGCACGTTTTGTTTATACACATCCAATGATTATTTCATGGAGTTTTGAATTTATTGGGAGCGCTCCTGACCGTCCTTTTATTATATTGTACTATTTTTTGTTGAATGTATTTAGTATATATTGAAGTCATAATATATTGGCATTTCTTCTTTCTTTGCTTTGCATTTCCTCCAAACACCCTTTTCTGATTTATTCTGAAAGAGTGGTAGATGCATGCCTCAAACTTTTCTAATTCTTGTTTTCTTGCAATTTACTCCTTGCAATTCTTTTATAATATTGAAGCAGCCGTGGTATATTCAAGTTTTAATGTGTCCTTCTTTATTTCATTTTTCTGGTCCCCAGGCAATGCTACTTGTAACTTCACACTTCAATTAAAGCACTGCATTGTGGCAGCATCATTTTTTATTCAAAAGCCATATGTTGTGATGTTGTGTTCACTTGTTCTTGTTTTGAGAAGATGATTTTTTTGTAATTTAATTTCTTCGGGTGAAAAGATGATCTTGTTTTATTTGATCTGTAGTGGTATTGGTTAGATTGTTGTTACGTGTAGAATTAGATTTCTTTTTAACTTTTTCTGTCAACCGATTGTTGTTCATGATAGTTGAAGCAGTGGTACAGTCTGCATTCTTCGCTTCTAGCTTTATTTGATGAATGATTGATAATCAAGTCTTAAGAATACTTTGAAATTTAATATCCTTTTCCTGATTTCCTGTTGTCTAACGTTGGGATGCTTTCTGAGTCATCAGGAAGCAAGAGAAATTTCACTGAACCAGGTTGCAAACTTTAACAAGACAATTGTTCTAAATTGCAAAGAGGTAAATCTGTTATCTCGGTCACGTATTCGTGCTCATTCTATTTATTTTTGTTTTTAAGGAAAAAAAATAATTTGAGTCCATCTTCTTGCCAGGCCATTAGAAAACGCCTGAGGGCCATCAATGAATCTCGTGTTCAAAAGCGGAAGGTAAAAATTTTTATTCTGCTTCTGTTATGCTTGCTGAAAATATGCTGCAACAATAAGTCAATTGTGTACTCTTTTTTTTTTTTTTTTGGGTCTTCTGTGAAGTTTAGTGGATATGACTCATAGTGCTTACTATGGCAGGCTGGTCAAGTCTATGGTGTTGCTCTTTCAGGATCACATCTCACTAAGCCTGGTGTTTTCCCTGAACTAAGGCCATGTAGTGAAGACTTGCGGAAGAAATGGATTGAGGTATATGCAATTTGTAATTAGAAAAGTTACGATGCTGACTTACTTAGCTAGGCATCATCCATGTTATTTGGCCCTAGTTGACTCAGGCTGTCGACTTTAGGGACTAATCAAGGAGTGAGAGCTGAAAGATTTACCACCAAATATTTATGAGGAGAATAATATCCTGGTAAAATGCTTGCATGGATGGTTTGGGCCTCTTCTTGGGATGGGCCAAAATAAAACATTAAAAAAATATGAATCCTTCCATGTCAAACATTCGGAATGGTAATATCTTAAATATATGCTGAGCAGTCTAGGTCTATCTATTTGCCTATTTACGAACTTAAAACAATCCTTGTCCTGTAAGTTTCTGTAACAAATTGATTGAGCTCTCACTCGAGGATGATATGCCTGTCAATTCCTTGAGTGTTTTCACCAATCTTATTTGATTGTTGTCTTGTTTTAGTACATTGATGGTACAGCTATTGCTATTGTTTCAATAACTTAAACTCCTTGCATTTTTTGTTCCAGGGCTTATCTCAACAGCACAAACGATTACGTTCTTTGGCTGATCATGTTCCTCATGGTTATAAGAAGAAATCACTTCTAGAAGTTCTTATCAAGAATAATGTTCCATTACTGAGGGCAACCTGGTTTATTAAAGTAACTTACCTCAACCAGGTGGGGATACGTCAGTGTTGGGGTATATCCAAAGTACCATTTCCCAAAGTACTGTTCCTTTTAATAATGGAACCTAGGTTGTGGTTGAATTTTGCAGGTTCGGCCTGGATCTGCCTCATTATCTTCAGGGACTGCTGATAAAACTCAGCTGACTCGTTCTGAGCATTGGACTAAAGATGTTGTTGATTACCTGCAATCTCTTCTGGATGAATTCTTCTCAAAAAATGCTTCTCATTTTGCTCCTAATAGTCGGGATCGATCACCACAAATTCCTTATGCTGGTTCGCTGCAACACAGAATTGATTCATTATCATCTTTTTCTGATTCTGATGAGCCATCTTTACATTTTAAATGGTGGTATGTTGTGCGGCTTCTGCAATGGCATCACACTGAAGGGCTGATTCTTCCCTCTCTTGTCATTGATTGGGTTTTGACTCAATTAAAGGTATTAATCTTTGGACAATCAGTCGTGTGGTCTTGCTCTTTTGCGTATAAGTGATTTTAAAGGTTTTATTCTGTGAGGTTTTGATTTATGACATTTCTGTTCCTTTCAGGAAAAACAAATGCATGAGATTTTACAGCTGCTATTGCCTATTATTTATGGCTTTTTAGAAACCATTGTTCAATCTCAAGCATATGTACGCAGTCTTGCTGGAATAGCACTTCGCATCATTCGTGATCCTGCACCCGGTGGATCAGATCTAGTTGACAATTCTCGGAGGGCATATACAACGTCTGCTCTGATTGAGATGCTTCGGTATTTAATTCTTGCAGCACCAGATACTTTTGTTGCTTTAGATTGCTTTCCTTTACCATCCTGTGTGCTTTCGCATACAGTAAATGATGGGAATTTTCTACTGAAGACATCTGAAGTGGCGGGAAAGGTAAAAAGTAGTTCAGAAGATGCTGCATTTATGTTTAGAAGTAAAGGACTTGATGCGCAATATCAATCATTGGCATTTAGCCATGTTATTACATCCATTCAAAAGCATGCAGGAGATCTTGTGAAAGCTGCAAACCCAGGCTATCCTGGTTACTGTCTAGCTAAGGCTGCTCAAGTTTTGGATAAGTCCCTTATGTTAGGTGATATACATGGAGCCTATAAGTTACTCTTTGAAGACCTTTATGATGGGGTTGCATCTGAAGGGTGGATTTCGAAAGTCAGCCCTTGCTTAAGGTTATCACTCAAGTGGATCGGGACTGTGAATATGTCACTCATTCATTCTGTGTTTTTCCTCTGTGAGTGGGCAACATGTGATTTCAGGGATTTTCGGGGTGCTCCCCTATGTGACATCAAGTTCACAGGCAGGAAAGATCTTTCTCAAGTGCATATAGCAGTTAGGATTTTAAAGATGAATATGAGGGATATGCGGAATCGTCCAAGGCGAAAGAATGAAAGCATTCATGGAGTCAGCAACTTAGCAAAATGTTCTGGACAGCAGAGTACCCAGACTTTTATGGCTAACGTGTCAAAAGTAAAATCCAAATCAAAAAACGGATACAGTAGTAGAAGTCCGTCGCTTATGTTTGAAAGCCCAGGTCCCCTACATGATGTTATAGTTTGTTGGATCGATCAGCATGTGGTCCATAAAGGTGAAGGTCTCAAACGACTTCATTTGTTCATAGTGGAGCTCATACGGGCAGGTATATTTTACCCCTTGGCATATGTACGCCAGCTAATAGTGAGTGGGATCATGGATATGAATGTGAATGTGGTTGACCTAGAGAGACAGAAGAGACACTACCGAATCCTGAAGCAACTTCCTGGCCAGTTTCTGCGTGATGCATTGGAAGAATCAGGCCTAGTTGAGGAGCCGCATCTTGTGGAAGCTTTGCAAATCTACTCAAATGAACGGCGCCTTATGCTTCATTCTCCTCTTAGCGATCACTTTAATGACAATAATGGTGCTGGTTCATCTGGTCTAAAGAAAAAATTTTCAGATTCCACAAAGGATGGAGCTTCTATAGGTCCAATTGATCACTGGAAAAATGTACCTTCTAAACTGTCTTCAAAAAATATAAAAAATAACATTGATATTGAAGAACTGAAAGAAGCCATCTCAATGCTGCTACACTTACCTGGTAGCTTTTCTAATTTGAGCTCTGTGGGATCAGATGACTCTCAAGGGAGTGTTAAAAGACCTATTGGGTCTCCTCAGAGCAAGAGTGATCCGGGGGAAGTTACACCTGGGTGTGAAGAATGCAGAAAGGCAAAGAGACAAAAATTAAGCGAGGAAAGAAATTCATTTGGTCAAGGTCATTCTCCCGTTCTATCTGATGATGAAGATACATGGTGGGTGAAGAAGGGGCTGAAGTCCTTGGAGTCTCTGAAAGTTGATCAACCACTTAAACCAATCAAGCAGGTTACTAAAAGTCGCCAAAAGACTGTGCGCAAAACCCAGAGTCTTGCACAATTGGCTGCTGCTAGAATTGAGGGTAGCCAAGGAGCATCTACTAGTCATGTCTGTGATAACAGAGTCAGTTGCCCTCACCACAGAACTGCCAATGAGGGTGACAGCTCAAAGTCAGTGGATGGAAATCGAACAAGTCGATGTGGGGATATAGTTTCAGTAGGGAAAACACTAAAAAGGCTTCGCTTTGTTGAGAGAAGATCAGTAACAGTTTGGTTGATGACTGTAGTTAGGCGTCTCATAGAAGAGACTGAGAAAAATGTTGGCAAGGTTGGCCAGTTTGGTAGGCCTTTTGCTGTTGTGGATGATCGGAGTTCAATACGGTGGAAACTTGGTGAGGATGAACTTTCTGCTATAATTTATCTGATGGATATCTCGGATGATTTAGTATCAGCTGTCAAGTTCCTCCTCTGGTTGCTGCCTAAGGTTGTCATTAGCCCCAGTTCTACTATTCCTAGTGGCAGGAATGTTCTGATGCTGCCAAGGAATGTGGAAAACCAAGTTTGTGAGGTGGGAGAGGCTTTTTGCTATCATCACTGCGAAGGTTTGTGCTTTTTTAATTTCAATTATATAGTTTTTGTTTGTTAGATGTGCCCACTTTTGCTATATTGGCAAGTTCAACATGTGAATTCCATTCTATTCCTCATCTCATTTCTGCATATTTGATGTTGTATCGCCTTCTAATGGCTTAGCCTCCTATTTCTGAAATATAGATATAGATGATCTAAACAGCCTCTTTTTGCCAATAACTTGTTGAGACTTATAATGGATCTATTATGTATTATGTATTTTGGTTCAATTATATTTTTTGTTGAAAGTACCTAACTTAGTATTTCTTGCCATCCTCCTTTTTAATCTTGAGTAAATGTGGGCAGCTTCAACAAAACCTGTATTACTTTGACTGCTGCTTAGGCTTGCTCAAATGACTTGAACTATTATATTGGTAAAATGGAATGGGCGGGTTTAGTTTTAAAAATAAAATGTTAGTGGTCTAGGTTTGCTTAGTGTCTTATAAGGTTTCCACAACTTCCTTTGAGCTTGTACCACACTTTTACCTTACATTGAATCTTGTTCTTTATTATGTTCTTGTTTTCTGTCCTTTTTAGACAAGATAAAACTATTTCTTATTTTGTAAAATATTATTGAACCAGTGGTTCATAAACAACTTGCTTTTGCTTCTCTTATTATTGTGTTGGACTGTTTCCTTGTTAATTAAGATGATTGTCATGCATTATCTTTGGTCCAGGTATGAAAACATTCTAGCTGCAGCAGATCTTATTCCTGAAGCTTTGTCAGCTGCTATGCATCGTGCTGCTGCTATCGTAGCATCCAATGGGAGAATTTCAGGTTCAGGAGCACTACCCTTTTCTCGTTATTTGTTGAAAAAATATGGTAGTGTGAGTGGCGTCATTGAGTGGGAGAAAAATTTTAAGGCAACATGTGATAAGAGGCTTTCCTCTGAACTTGAGTCTGGACGGTTAGTGGATGCGGAGTTGGGGATTCCACTTGGAGTACCAGCAGGAGTTGAGGACCTTGATGATTTTTTCCGTCAAAAGATTAGTGGTGGACGGTTATCCAGAGTAGGTTTGGGTATGAGAGACATTGTGCAGCGTCATGTTGAAGAGGCAATTCACTATCTTTTCGGGAAAGAGAGGAAAGTATTTGCTTCTAGCACTTCAAAAGGTCCTGCTGTTGAAAAATGGGATAATGGATATCAGACTGCTCAACAAATAGTTGTGGGTCTGGTTGATTGCATAAGGCAGACTGGTGGTGCTGCACAAGAAGGGGATCCTTCTTTGGTCTCTTCAGCTGTTTCTGCCATTGTTGGTAGTGTTGCAAAAATGCCTGATTTTTCAGCAGGCAGTAATCATTCAAGTAGTACATCGGCTACTACTTCCTTGAACTATGCCAGATGCATTTTGCGGATGCATATTATTTGCCTTTGTTTGCTTAAGGAAGCCCTTGGAGAGCGCCAAAGCCGTGTATTTGAAATTGCACTTGCTACAGAAGCTTTCACTGCTCTTGCTGGTTCTGGTAAAGCATCCCGAGGTCAGTTTCAAATGTCTTCTGAAGTCCATGACACCAATACTAGTATTTCAAATGATGTACAAATTAATTCTAATAAAGTCGTGGTTGGTAAAGCAACAAAAATTGCTGCGGTTTCTGCACTTGTTGTTGGTGCAATTATATATGGTGTTACCAGCTTGGAAAGAATGGTAACAATTCTAAAATTAAAGGAGGGGCTGGATGTAGTACAATTTGCAAGAAGTACAAGATCTAATTCTAATGGGAATGCACGTTCAGTTGGGGCTTTTAAAGTTGATGGTTCGATTGAACTTTATGTTCATTGGTTTAGATTGCTTGTTGGGAACTGCAGAACCGTTTGTGAAGGATTAGTGGTGGAACTCTTGGGTGAGCCTTCTATTATAGCTCTTTTAAGGATGCAGCGAATGCTCCCTTTAAGCTTGGTCTTTCCACCTGCCTACTCAATATTTGCCTTTGTTATGTGGCGGCCTTTCATTCTGAATGCTAATATTGCAGTCCGTGAAGACATGAATCAACTGTATCAGTCTCTTACAATGGCCATGAATGATGCAGTGAAACATTTGCCTTTTCGAGAAGTATGTTTGAGAGACAGTCAGGGTCTTTATGATCTCATGGCTGCAGATTCAAGTGATGCTGAATTTGCAAATTTGCTTGAGTCAAATGGCTCTGATATGCATTTGAAGTCTAAGGCCTTCATTCCTCTCCGTGCCAGGCTTTTTCTGAATGCCATCATTGATTGTAAGATGTTACAATCTATGTTTACACAGGAGGATGGGAGCCGGATTTCTGGTCATGGCGAGTCTAAAATTCGGTTCAATGATAGTGAATCAAAGCTGCAGGATAAGCTTGTGAATGTTTTAGATAGCTTGCAACCTGCTAAATTTCACTGGCAGTGGGTGGAACTCAGGCTGCTTCTTAATGAACAAGCCCTCATTGAAAAACTTGAGACACACGACATGTCCTTGGCCAATGCTATACAGCGATCCTCACCTAGTTCAGAGAAGGCTGCTTCTGCTTCTGAAAATGAGAGCAATTTTATAATAATTATACTCACAAGGTTATTGGTCAGACCTGATGCTGCACCCCTTTTCTCAGAGTTGGTCCATCTTTTTGGCAGATCACTGGAGGATTCAATGTTGTTGCAGGCAAAATGGTTTCTTGGAGGTCCAGATGTGCTTTTTGGTCGGAAGACAATAAGACAAAGGCTAAACAATATTGCTGAGAGTAAAGGCCTTTCTGTTAAAACCCAGTTTTGGGAGCCCTGGGGATGGTGTAGTCCTGGTAGTGATTCATTTACTAATAAGGGGGACAAAAAGAAATTTGAAGCTGCTTGTCTTGAAGAAGGAGAAGTTGTTGAAGAGGGAATGGACTTGAAAAGGACCCTAAAGGGGCTCTCTCATGGAAATGATTCAGAGAACTTGAGCATAATTCAGCAGCATGTGACTGAAAGGGCTCTTATTGGGTTGATACTTCCTTGCATTGATCAAATCTCTGAAGAATCTCGCAATTCCTTTGCAAATGATTTGATCAAGCAGTTGTATAATATTGAGCAACAAATAACTGCAGTTACTCGTGGGCCGAGTAAGCCAGCCGGAAGTACTCCTTCTGGAATTGAAGGTCAAACAAATAAAGTAAATAGCCGCAAGAATATGAGAGGTGGCAGCCCTGGGTTAGGAAGGCGACCAGCAGCTGCTACAGTATCTGCTACAGATTCTGCTCCACCTTCCGCTGCAGCATTACGTGCTTCAATGTCATTACGTTTGCAATTACTCATGAGATTTCTTCCCATTCTTTGCACAGATAGGTAATTTATGAGTAGATTTATTATCTTCCCAGGCTTTTCCTATGCTATTTTTGAGATAGCTGTCTTGTTTCCTGAATTGTTATTACTATTGCTGTTCTATAGTTATGTTTGCAGCAGAGTGAAATAGGAATAGTCTTGGATGATGTTTAGCATGTTATATATCTGGAAAGTGTTTAGTGATCTGGCCTTCTGTATCTTAACCCATTTGCTGTTATAGATGTGGGTACCCTTTCTCAGTTTGTTAAATGCAATGTGGTTTTTCTAACATGTTGATAAGATACCTGCATGCTGCAATATGATGTGTTTGAGCTGTCAGACTGATGATAATAGATTTTTCCTTCTATCATAGTTCATAATGGTTCTGAGAACTCTTTTTTGGTGTTGGAAATGGTAGCTAACTTGGTTGTGGCCTGTGTAATTTTGAGATTATGAAATACTTGTAGCATACAAAATATCTATAGTTGGGTGAACTGTCCTATTTTAGAACGATGAATTCAATTTATCTGAGTTCATATATTGAATTTTGCAGGGAGCCATCTGTGCGGAATATGAGAAACTCACTTGCCTCTGTAATTCTTCGTCTTCTCTGTAATCGGGTCGTGCATGAGGATGCTGACATTTTGGTGGATGCCATGCATTCTTCTCTTCTGAAGAGGGAAGTGGAATCACCTTCTGAAGCTGCTTTGGTAGATTTTTCTGTTGATGGTTTGTTTGATCGTTTGTTGCTGGTTTTGCATGCACTGTTGAGTGATTGCCTTCCCAGTTGGCTCAAGTCAAAACCTTCCTCGAAGACAACTAATGAACCTATCAGGGATTTTTCTGGTTCTGATCGAGAATTGCTGGAGACTTTGCAGGTTGGGTATTCTAGTGAATGAATTTACTGCTTTTGCATTCAGTGGCCATTATTAAGGCATTTTGGCCATATTTGAGTTTTATTTAATGCTAATTTCATCTTTTCATAGAAAACTGCCAAGAAATTGCGGAGTGTTGGGGAGTGAATTTAAACTAAATATATGATGACTCATTGTGAAGTTACTATAATATTTGGGTGCTTTTGACCTTAAACTGGTTGAATGGGGACCCAAATATAGGCAACTTTCAAGTTTTTGCAAAATAAAATCAACAATGTGGGAACAAAGTATTTCACGATGTTATCTCAAGTAGGTTGGTGTATATAAGTTAAGGTCTCATGTTTGAGGAAGTTAATATAATTTCATAATAGAAAGCATGGAATCCAACTTTAATATTGCAAACTAAAGGAAATGTCTCTAATTTTGATTCTCCCTAGGAAGTTGATCATACTCAAACTTTGTGAAGAATGAACTTTCCTTGTTAATGATTAGTTGCAATACAAGGTTGCTCGAATCGTACAGCAGTACAGCGCCACATGGTGGATGGCAGGATTTTCATTTTTATCATTGCTTCCATGACTTAGTAATTGCTCTAAGATAAGGATTTTCCCCCCCCCCTTCTCCCAACTGATCGCATCAGTCTCATATGTGAAGGATGAAGTTAATCAGGTGAAAGTTTCGTTGCACATCTAATGCTCTATTCTTGCCTGCAGAATGAACTTGATCGGATGCAATTGCCAGATGCTATCAGGTGGCGAATCCAAGCTGCTATGCCAGTCCTTCTTCCCTCTCTGCGGTGCTCTTTGTCCTGCCAGCCACCATCTGTCCCAATTTCTGCTACTGTTTCTCTCCAACCAGGTGTTGCAAATTCTGGGTTTAGTTCCAACAGTTCGAATGTACCTCAGAAGAATTTGATTCCATCATCAAGAAGTGTAGTTAACACATCAGGGAAGTTGAAACAACAGGACAATGACTTTGAAGTTGACCCTTGGACACTGTTAGAAGATGGTGCTGGACTCAGCCCGTCTACTAGTAATACTGCTAGTGGTGACCATGTTAGTCTTCGAGCTGCTGGTTGGCTTAAAGGGGCCATAAGGATGCGACGAACAGATTTAACATACATTGGTGCGGTGGATGATGATAGTTAATTTGACATGATTTTTAATTGGTTTGGCTCTGGAGAAACCCCTCAGGCATGTGCACTCGATTTTCCATTATCTATGATGCATGCATTACTGGCATGAAGATGCCGTTTTGTGCTTGCCCTTCGCAGCTTGAAGAAGGAAGGTTGAGGGGTTAGATTATTTGGAAGAAACGGGTAAAATGGTGGGTCCTTTGTTGAAAAGGAAAAGCGAAGGCAATGATTTTGAGCCAGCCCGTTCTGCCGATGGCCGGTTGACTACTAACCTGTTGATCATCCCCTTCTGACTTGCTCTAATGGCACGGTTTTGGGAGATTTGGTGTATATATAGGGATATGATTTTTTTTTCCCACTTTTTATCTATTGATCTGGGCAATATATCTCAAGTAATATCTCCTGTTTCGTGCCCATGTTTCCATGCACGTTCATCTGCTGTTGCTTCTTTCTATATTTTTGTTATTATTAATTATGTGCTTGATGGAGCATGAAATGTAGCATTCCTTTGTTCAATGGCAAGTCTTGTGTAATATTTTTGCCCAGAAAACCAAAGAATCATGGCGGCTTATTTCAGCTCGCATTTATGAAGTTATTTTTTTTCGGGTAGACTTTAATCGTTCTGGTTGCAGTTTTCTAACACTAATATGATATGCTCCTTCTGGTGCTTACAAGACAAATTTATTTATTTTACACACAAAATTAGTTGATAGTTGATGTTTTAAAATTTCTTTTCTGCTTTTTCATAAACACTTTTCGTTGAATGTTTTTCTCTCACTCACTTGATGTTTTAAAGTTTCTTTTCTGCTTTTTTATAAACGCTCTTCATTGAAATTTTTTTTTCTCTCACTCACTTTCTAAATCAAGACCTCTTTAATCTCTAAATTAAAACAACTTTGGCTATTCTTTAAAATGATTTTGTCTAGAATTTGCATAGAGTTTTATAAATGAGAATTTCAAGATCTTTTAAAAGATGTTTATGCAACGGAATGGGAGGAGTATCGTTGATTCTCCTTGAATACTTCGCCAAATTCTAGTATCCCATTGCGGGCCTAAAAAAAAAAATTGCTGATATCCACGCAAGGGAGTAAGGAGATATAGTTATGGCGGTTTCTTAACAGGAGAAAATATGTAGGAAAGGTATTTGTTTAAGGAAAAACACAAGAAACACTATCAGATGAGTGACAGTTGTCGTAAATGTTTGCGGAAGATGATTCGCCGTGTTTATGAAGATTTATTTATTAGGAACAGCAACCAAAAACACTACTATTTTGCAAAGTCTTCGAGGGAACTGTCAAACTTTGTTTTTTTTTTTAAGATATAAATAACTAATTAATTTGAATTTCTTAATGTGTAAATTACTTATCTAACTCTTATGTGTGCTTATAGTCAACCATGTACTGATTAATATTGATTTTTTTCACGTGGCCTAAAAGGCACGTATAAAACTAACACCATGCATAAATTGTCCCAATTTGTTGAGGAAAGAATATTATATAAGTTGGGACTGTATAAAGTAAACCATCTGAATGAATTTGCCTCTATGAAGACATTTTATTTTTTTTAAAATCATTAACATTGATTTATTCTGTAATATTTCCTTGCAGATCCAAACTTGCCTAGTAGTACTACTTTCAAGGTTCCAATAACACGATCAAGCTTTTCATGCACGGCACTTGCCATGAACTTGTACTTTTAAAAAAAAAAAAAAAAAAAGCTCTAGAGGGGAATATGCTTTCCATGTATGCTAGAGTTTAACTCATCAATCGATACAAAACCCTTAAGTTGGCCAAAACACAAATTCCATGACACCAGAAGCGACACCATTCTAAATAGACGCAAGAAGAGTTGATTAAAATGATTGAAATGATAATACGGATAAGCTGGGCAAACAAAAATTGGTAACGTGTTCTATTGATCAAGCGGTGGCATGTGGCAGCTTTTGGCACGCACCAAGCAAACTTGCAAGGTTATTATTGTTCTTCAACCAGCTCCCAGTTCCCTGTTCAAGTAGTCAATAAACATTCTCTTGGCACTATCTGCATCTGAAGGAGGAGGAGGTCCGCTTAAACTTGTTTGCCCTGTCAACTTAATGAAGGTACGTCGCATTCTCCGTAGTTCCGGCAGCCCAACAGATCTTGATATATTGATCGGAGGCAAGTCCTTCCCCACAGAAATCCCATTCATAGGCCCTCCTAGAGCCTGAGATTGAGCTTCTACTATGGCATTTGTGACCTCCTGAGTTGCTTTATCCAGCTCGTATAGAGAATTAGCAGCAGAAAAGCGTGTGTTTTGAGTTGCAATAGTTGGCTGTAAAATCTTAACATCTCGGGTTTGGGAGTCCACGGTTTTGGTTATGTAGGATAGAGCATCTCTAATGGCCGGAGAAGATTTTTCTATTCCATCCCTATGTGGCCATAGCTCATACAAAGGTGAATCCCAACGGTTTCTTCTATCTGGTTTCTCAAACCTTCTAACCAAATCTTCAAAGATTGTATCTTCATAAGCAGCTTCTCCTTTCTCCCTACGTTCTACATTCCAATTCCTACAGTGGGTTTCTTCAACATCACAATACAGTACACAGTATCTAATGCCTGTTGCACGAGCCAAACACCATAGCTCATATCGATAGCCTTTGATGTTATTCAAAGAATCTACTATAATGATGTTATCTTTTGACACGGACCTATCTACTTCTGACCTAAGAACACCTCTTAAATTTTTTTCTGCAGGCATATTGGCATAACTCTGGTTACGATCAAGATGGAAAAAAGCTTCATCTATGACCCTCACTTGCAGTTTTGTTTCTGATTCTTTGAGGGCTTCGGCCAGACAGAGTGCAGCTTTAGACTTCCCACTGCATGGCTGTCCACATATCACAATCAATGCCATTTGGGAAAAATTTGATTGTTATGCCAAGGAAGCAATAAGGTTTATGACTTTACAAGCAATATCTGCAAGAAATTGAGGGAAGATGAATGAGTTGTCAGTAATTTTGACACAGAAACAAGCAATATTTTTTTTCAGCCAAACCATGGCTACTAGCTGTGAAATAATTTTAACACACAATTTTACAGAAAAATGGTTCTAGGCATTATTTTAAGCCCAAAACCAAATCACAAGTCGTGCATCATTTTAATACAAAGGATAAGTACAGAAGCATGGATGTATGCACCATGCGGCACTTTTTAGACCAAACAGAATCAGCAAGCGCGCAGAAGCATATATGCTGAAACATGGATACATGAAGAACTTTACCCAAAATGAAATAGAAGTATAATGAAGAGAACTTGTGCAAATACAAAGATGTATGCAGCCTTTCAAATATGAAAATCATGGAGCAATAAAAATGTAGAACTTTTGCAACAACATATTATAGCACTCTTTGGTCAAAAACAGAAACACAGCATGTGAAGCAATTAAAATGAAGAACGTTGCACTAAAACATAGATCTATGTGATACTTTTAGTAGTCCAGAATCAAAACCATATCACTTCAAAAAAAAAAATAAAAAAAGCCTTGTCCATTACATCCAAGCAAAGATCACCTTGTCCTTATGCAAGAACATCATGTTGAAACAAACAGGATAGCATGTGAAGATCTGAATAGATTTTCAACCTCAAGTTTCCAGCCAAAAATCATGTTGAAAGTCATGCTAAAATTCATTGAGAGCCAAACATCGCGTGGGCAGATTACAGCTCGTAAAAGCATGTGTCAAATCAGAATCCAAAGCAAAATTATGCTAGAAATAGCTAACTTGGTTGCACAGGGAAAAATTGAATCAAATTAAAGCCAAACCAAGTTCACGCCATTATCACTTGAAATGATTAGCGTACAAGTTAAAAAGTTAAAATTTTAAATAAAAACAAAACCAAGTTTGACTGGATTACAGTGTTAAAGATATCAGAAAACAGAAGGTCAAACCACCACTTCAAACATAGCAAGAACTCAAGTAAATTGAACCAGGTCCTGGAGGAAGACCAGCTTCTATACTCAGCAAACACTCGCAATACAACAAGGTCGAACAATCATGAGTTTAAGCCCGTCGGTCTCAATCCACACCAATTGCAAAGAAATTTAACTACAAAGGGAGGGGACTCAAATAATCAGTCTAAAAAAATCCTTCCAGAACTGGGTAATAACAGAACTAAAGAATCTAGTTATTCCTCAGCTTTGAGATCAAGAAGCACAATCCATCATCCAATCCAAGCATGAAGGGGGGGGGGGGAACTAAAATGTCAATTCGCAAGAGATAAACACCATCGGGAGAGCATGTATCCAGATTTACCCAAATCCCCAGCACGACCAGAGCATGTTGGAGAAGAATCGGGCTAGAGGAGGATACCTCTATGTGCTTCACTTCTGATATGTGATTTCTTCCTCTGCCTCCTTCAATCTTTGCGACCATTGACAACGGTCGTGCCCTCTGCTCCTCAGCTCTCTTTCTCTGTCCCACGCGACCTCCACCCTCCCGATTCTCAGCAGCCTCTGGCCCTGCCTCCTCGAGGAAGTCCGTATTGCGTTAATTGCTCTTCCATTAAACGCAATGCAAGTCTGCGTTTCCACCCCCTTCTCTCTCTTCCGTTCCGTTTGCCTATCCTTTTAATTTTTTCTCCGTCTCTATATTAAAACTATAATGATTTTTTTTCGGAACACAAAACTATAATGGTTTAATGGGTATTGGGGGTTTTCTCCCTCACTATTCCAGCATAAAAAAAATTAAAAAATCCCAATTAATAGTAAATTATATGATTCATGATTTATAAATACAATGAATTTTTAAAATAAATTATATTTTAAAAAATATTTTACAAGAGAGCCGCGGCAACTAACTGACCAATTTTTTTAAAAAATAATTTTAAATGTTCTCATAAATTAATTTGTTTTAATTAAAAATATTTAAAACGCAAATTAATTCATTAAAATAAAATAATTATAATAAATATTTTTTTATATTCATAGATGTGCCTTCATACTTTTTGGTCATATTAGGGAGAAATTCACATATTTATTATATCCTTTATATTTAAAATAAAAAGTTGGACTCACAATCTTGAGCATTTAATCATTGGATTTAAAGGTTTTGATGATATCACGATACTACTTCAATCTTAAATTTTAATCCTATATATAAGATCTCGTTTATAAATTACAAATAAAATTTTATAATTAGGATCGGAATTGTGGTACAATTTAGTTTGTAGTGATTTTATATTTATATTTAGGATCACGTACATTAGAATAAAGTTTGCTACTGAGTTTCATCACAAACAAAATAGGAAATTGGTTCGGTTGGCTTAACAATCGATTAATGCATTGTTAGCTTTTTTTCCTGTTTAAACTTGCTGTGAGATCCCAAGTGTGAGGTAGATGAAGCAGTAAGCACAACGCCGTAGTGAGCACAAACAGCACAAAGACTGCAGAGAAGAAGAACAAAGCATCAATGTGGAGATGAAGTGGAGAAGAAGCAATAATTAGAGACACCGCAAAGACGGACAAAAGAATCAATGTGGGCAGAGAGGGGGAGGCGATACCCTGATAGTAAGGAAGAGTAAAAGAGTGTGAGGGAGATAGCTAGCTGATGGCACTTGAGATTAATCTACAAGACAAAGACATGGGAGTGTTTCTGGAATTGTGAGGTGGTGAGGCAGAGGATGCGGCGTGTGAGTTTTGGGTGTGGAAAGGAATGACGGTATCTGGGAAATAAGCATCGGCTAACTCTGTGCCAACAACCGCGATAAGACAGAGGATGCAAGTGTTATCCGAAATGATTGGACGTACAACGTCCATAGGTGGCTTTTTAAGTTCGTCGTCAAATCCCAGGGCTCAATCCTGGATAGGCGGTGGAAACTACCAAGTTGGAGTAGGGTAGGGGCAGAGAGAATTTATGGTGGAGCGGTGAAATGCATAGAGATCAGAAAGAACACCAACGGCAAAAGCATTCTGCTGGGCCGATACTAACATTGAGAGACAAAAGCTAGGTGGGTTTGGTACAAAACATTGTAATTAAAAAATTTATTTTATTTAGTATAAATAATTGTTTGTTACATACGATTAGGTAAACTTATAAAGATTATAAAGATGGGATTAAGGGATATCACTTCTTCTCATGGTATTCCTCAATCACACATATGAGTTTTGCTCATTCCATATAACAAATAATTTCTTATGTTAAACACTCTTTTAATAGATTTTCTTAATCTCAATTTTAATTTCTAATTTTTAATGCTTGCTATCAAAAGCAACCTTAAAGTTTAAGATATATTGGGTTGGGTTTAGAAGTACACTTGGCCGTATTTTTGTCTTAACCAGACATACTTGGGCCTGTTAAGATATTGCCAACTTAGTTTCATAATATATAAAACATTACATACGTTGACAAAAATATTAAATATTATATACACTCATATACTACTCCGGTTTTAATATAAGATCTTGTTTAACTTTTATTTTGATCTTAAATATAAGACTTCAATCTATTTTGTCTTTCATACATATGTATTTTTTTCAAGGTAGTTATTCTAACAATGATAGCTCTAACCAATACACTTAATTAGTAAGAATATTTTAGGAAAAATAACATATATTTATTACAAATAACTAACTTAATTTCTTTCCTTAATCTCCTCAAATTAGTCAACTAACTCTTATAATTAGGACCGAAGATAGTATTTCAGTTTTTGGGTTTGAAACCAAATTATTCTTTTATTGTCGAACACCACATTAAGAAAAATAAAAACTAAAGCAAATCCAAAAATAATTTAAATCAAAAAATTAAAAATGCATTTAGTTTGATTTAGTGGTCCATTACGATTCAGTTTTATTCACCCTTCCTTATATTAACCTATCAAGGGTTATAATCCAACCAGTTTATTTAGTATATGTTAAATACAAGAATGTTATAATCCATTAATAAATGAATATTTTAAGTGAAAGATAAAAACAATTTTTATTCTTAAGATAACATCATATCATTAATTTTTTCTGGAAAAAATCATAGCAATAATTTTTAATTTCAAGCAATAAGAAAAACTTTTCTATAAAACATCATTATAACAATAAATAGTCCCCCAGTCTCCCTACTCGTGAGTGCTTGTAAGGATATCGACCACAAAATATAATTCAAGGTTTGAAATGAGTACTCAGTACGTGCAACTTGAAGAGAAAATTTAAATAAATTCAAGACAAATATGAAGTTAGCATATACTATGTCTGGTCCTTAATATAACATCTTATTTGACTTTTATTTTGATCCTAAATATAAGATCCAATCCATTTTGTCTTTTATATTTACTCAAGTTTTTCCAAGATAATCCTTCTAATAGTTATAGTTTTAGTTAATATACTTGATTAGTATAGATATTTTAAAAAAGACAACATCTATTTAGGACAAATAACTAGCTCAACCTATTTCCTTAATGTCCTCAAATTAGTCAATTTGCTCTTATAATTAGACAAGAGGTAGTACTATCTCTGGTTCTGATTATAAGACTCAATTGACTAATTTAGAAAAAATAAGAAATTTAGTTAAGTAGTAATAGTTAAAAAATAGCACTGTTTTCCAAAAATACCCTCATCAAATCTTAAAAAATATCCTGCACTTCATATTTGCAGTACAACATTATTAAACATTTAAATGTAAATAAATAATATACTATATCGGATTTTGAACAAGACTCCATCAATGCAACCGGCTCTTCCCTTTTTAATAGCTGAATAAAGTATTAAAGGCAATTTTTGGTGGTCAAATGTCATAAATATGACTGTATATTGCCATGCTGGTCAAAATATTTTATCGTAGAAAAAAAAAATATCCCAGCATTAGCCGATTTGAATTCTCACTGCTTGCATGTCTCGCTAATAATCATCCATCAATTTGATGTTTTTCAAACCCATAGATTTTGGAAGCTTTTTTTTCTTTTTGCCACATATCTCGTCCTCATTATTTATTTATTTTTTAAAGCACATGTAATCTATTAACTTACAGGAGGCAATCCTATTCACCGCACGCATATTAAATATAAATACACTCTTGCAATTATTAATCATTATATTTTCTACTAAGCGTACGCAGCCTCATATTTAAGCACAAGTCAACATAAGTGACTAAGAAAATTAATCTTTTGTTACTATATAACTTAACATATTATATCATTGTACGATTGTATACGGTTTATTAATAACACTGTTATTAGAGTTTTATTTACGTTACACATAGATAATTCATTTCATTTCAACTTCAAATGAATAGAAGTATGCGTTTCTTAACTTTTAGGGGAAAAATCAATTATGAAAGCTTGTAATAAATTTAATTTATAGTTATCCACAAAAACTCTTCAATATTGAAAAAAAAAACTCAACATATCTTTTGTCGTTTATATTTAACAATAAAAACCCGCATTTGAGAGCATTTTAGTCATATTATAGTTTGAAAAAATTGTGCATATTTTTTAATTAAAAAGAGGACTGGAATTAAAAAGGAAAATAGTAAGAATTTATAATTTCATATTAATATCATATCTAATTATAGATCACATGCTTTCTTCTCACATGGTCAACTCCTTGAAGTTTCAACTTTGGACTACATACATTGATTAACATAGAGTCACTGTTTGTGAATCCAGAAAAGGTTTTTTTTGTTAACAACAATAAATAAAAACTCGATATGCAGCCCACATGCTAATATGTAGTATCACCAAACATTTCAGATGATCAACAAAAAGTTGATATAAATATGGCTTAAATCCTTCTACTGAGTGCTAAAATTTAGGCTTCATCATACAAATGAAAGTGAGAAGCTTTTCATATCATCATCATCATCCAAAACTCTCTGCATTCTTGAAGTTTACAATTAACCAGAAAAATAGAATTTCTATGTACCTTGCTTCCTCATTGCCTTATCTTCACGAAGAACATCTTCAATCCAAGCCACAATGTTGAATGCTAGACCTTCTAACACTCTTGAGTAGCCCTCCAGTATTGCTTTCCCTACATCCTGCGCAACATAATTTTTGTTCTTACTGAAAAATTTCTAAATGGGGCATCAAACTTCCTGTCACTAGTTGAAGTATTCAACCTTTAGATTCACAGTATTTGATCAAAGAGTGCTATAGAATGTTCAGGATATGAATCTACAGATAACTGATAAAACTTACTCGGTTGTACTGAATCTTGCATATGTCCAAGGAAGTCTGAGAAAGTTCAGGATATCTTTGCTTCAAGCAAAATAATAAGTCTCAGCTCTCTCAGCTAACATGTAGTTTTTGTCAATCCGGTCAGATTCAGACATGAGTTCTTTCACTTTGCTCCATGATGATTTGGAATGGCTAAGGCAAGCTTTACGTCTCCATGCATACATTGAAGCTTCAACTCTGTCCACCAGCTCCAATGCTTCGTGCTCAGAACTTATCTTGAGATGATTAAGAAGGTGCTCAGGGGAGAATTTGTCTGGAATGCACATAAAGCGATACATCGAATCTCTCAAACTTGTTCTTCCACTCTGAACGCATCAAT